AGGCAGCACGGGTGACTGGTGCTGTGTGTCCCACTGACGTGATGGGGTAGCAGGGTGGGAATTGAATGGGATGGGGTGCTGGGTAATATATGCACACAGTTGGGAAGACTTGTCCAACAGAACACTGAAGATCCACGCATTATAAACACATATATGTGCATTAAATGCATAAAATAGACAAAGAACAATGCCTAAAAACAAAACTTGTTTCAGGAAATGCTGAAGTGAGAAGTGAAGTGAGAGCGGGGAAGGGAGTGTGTATTTTGCATGCAATGGAATTTAAGTAGGAATGGTGCCTTGCTTGACTATGAGATCATGGATCTCTCTGGGGAGGTGATGGTGAGTTGCAAAGGCCCCGGGGCAGGCCGAACTCAGCTGGAAGGGGGGGGGAAACTGGACAAGAGTCTGACAGCCTCGTGGTGGCATCGAGCATTAGGAGTCATTATGAGGAATTTGAGTTTTAGCTGCTGGAGGATCCAAGCTGGATGTGACCACACATCTGTGCCCCAGACACAGTGAGTACGCGATGTGGGGTCAGATGACCGTTATCACTCAACCGTGAGAGAGCCCATGCCTCAGCTTCCAGTGACACTTGTGGAAAGGGTCTTGGGGCCCACTGCCCATGACGCAGTTCATTGTGTGTGTGCATTAGCACTGGTGTACATGCACAGGTGTGTGCATGCATGTGAGTGTGTGTGCAGGTGTGTGTTCACAGTGCCTGTGTGAATGTGTGTGGTGAGGACAAAGGCATGTGTGGGCAGTGGGGAAGCTAAGGTTCAAGTGCAGCAATCCCAGCACCTGAGCAATGAGCTCAGTGTGAATGGAGCACCATCAACCTGGTCTGCAGCTTACGCCCAGACTTGACAACTGTGGATGCGGTGTGCTCACATACAGCTGGCTGGCCCTCTGCCAGGTTTGCAGGGGGCAAAGCTGGGAAGCAAGGCACAGAGGCAGAAACTGCTGTGGATGAGGTTCTCCAGGAAAACACCACCTCCAAGGAGAACTGCAAGTGGAGAAAAATCATGCTTTGTACACTGATGTCTTTTGCATGTTAGTTAGAGCAAAGACCACCAAGAGTTTCCAGGGATTAGCAAGATGCCTGACCCAGCCAGGCAGGATAGAGGTGCTGGGCGGTAGTCAGAACCAGGGTTCAAGCGGATGGGTCGACTCTCACGCAAATGCAAATGCCTGGTGGCTTGGTCAGCAGAGACAGAAACCAGAGTGCAGACTGAATGAAATAAATGTTTGAATGATCTCTACACTTCCCTCTCTGGTTTGCATTTGTGATTTTTAAAAATCTCGATTGGAGGTTTGGTTTTTTACTTGTTTGTTTCCACCCAGAAGAACAGAAGAAGGCTGGTTTTGCCAAAGAGATGGCGGTGCCTTTGGATGACAAATGAAACTGGGCAAGGAGCATCAGTTGCTCCCCGCTTCTTGTACACTGCATTGGCATGTGTGGCATCGGTTTCCCCATCCTTGGCGCCGACTCTCCAGGGTGATGGGACGCCCTGGGGACATCTATGACTCAGAGAGGAAGCTTGTGGACGTCCAGGCCACTCCTCGGAGAATCTGCTCTGGGTGGGTGGGGCAGAACTTGGCAGAAGTGTCCTGTTCACTCCTTCCCCACAGTGAATAGGCCCAGAGGATAGGTGGGGCTGGACACGGGATGTACTGACTCCCACTCAGGGACTTTTGCCATCTGGGTCTTGTGCCTCTCAAAGCTCTCCAATAGGCTGTGTGTACAGAATGAAATTTATTGTAAGGGATTGGCTCATGTGGTTACAGAGGCCGGTGAGTGAGACCTAGGAAAGCTGCTGGAACAGAAGTCCAGTGGCCATTGCTGGTGAGTCCCCTTTGCTGGGGGCCTGCAAATCACTCTGCTGTATTCATATGTACAACTGATTGGATAAGGCCTACCATCTGCTTTACTCTACCTTCAGATTCTAAAGATCTCATCCACAAATGCTCTCCCAATGGACACCAAATTAACCATCGCAGGAGTGGAAGTTGGGCTGTCAGGGGCCTGGGAGTCTCCCTGCTTCTGTGTGGCTGCCCCACCTTTCAGGGCATTTCTGGGAATTCCACCTGTGGACTGAGCCCCATGATGACTGGACCCCACCCCCCAGCCCCTCCCCCCCCAGGTTGCCTGCCCCACAGGCCCAGCTGGGACCCTGGTTTCTCTGCTTTTCCTCCTCTTGTCTCTCTCCTGGTTGGCTGCACAGGCTCTGCTCCAAATCCCAGCCAGGTAACACCAGAACTCCCAAGGCAGACCCAAAGGGGGTGTCTTCTACACCCCCTCAGGTAGAGAGGGCTACCTGAGCAATAAAAACACAACCAGCTGCAGCTACACTCAGGTAGAGCCTCTTTTAGTGTAAGCACGTCCCATGTAATCTTAGCTACACTTATGTTAAAAAATATTCCTTGCTTATTTGGAGTTCAAATTTAACTGGGCATCCGGTATTTTAATCTAGCATTCTTGGCCCACCCTCTTGGGGCCAGTAAATTCAAGGCTATCACCCTGACCCAGACACATGGGGACCCATAGCTACCCAGGACCAGGAGGTTAAGGACATCTGGGGCCAGGTCCAGGCCTGAGGCTGAGACAGAAGAAGGTGTGGAGTTCCCAGGATGAGCTGGGGCTGCTACAGGAGGGCCTGGTGGAGGGCAGAAAGCATGAATGTATGGCGGGGGCTCCTGCTGGGTCCTTCCAGGAGACTTCTTAGCCCCTGTGGTCTCTCATGTCACAGGTCCTGTGACCTGAGCCCAGGCCCCTCTCCTTCTTGCCCTCTTTGGTCAGTAAGCCTCCCCTACAAACGTCCAACCTAACTCTCATGTCGCCACTGAAAGTGCCCGCCTCCCCCAACTCCTCCCTGTCACCAAGACTTACTGGCAAAAGTCTTTTCAGCACCCACACGATGGACAGAGGGCGATGGCCCCGCCTCACTGAACTGCTGTGAATTCCGCACTGACCCCACACTGTGCTCCATTACAGATTCCTTTCATGAGAGGACCCTGTTAGCACTTTCACTTAGGCCTTTTGCGTTCCTGGGTTTAAGTGAATTTGGCTTGTGAACTTTTCCCTTGTGCCAAGAGTGCATGCTTTGGAGTCAGATGTTATTCTGCACCCCTACCCCCACCCCGGAGATAGGGTCTTCTTATGTAGCCCAGGCTGGCCTCAAGCTTAAGATCTTCCTTCCAAATGCTGGGATCACAGGGGTGTGCACCAGGACCGGCTGACTCATATTTATTTCATAAGGGGATGAGGAATCTCTCCTGCTCCATGCTGGGAAGAATTTATCAAGCAAGGAGCTGGTTTTAAAACAAAATCTGGTTTTAAAACAAAAAAAAAAGTGCTAAAATGCCCAAACAGTGACTTGAAAATTGGCAGTGCTTGGCAGGGAGCACTGACGTCAGCACTGTCATTTCCTTCCCTGCACATCGGTATGCTGGGTTTCCTGCCTCTTCTTGGCTCAGTTGTGATAATTTCCTGGAAAACATCTCCTTTCTTTAATTTCTGAAATGTCCAGTTCCAAGGTACAAGGCTGTTTTCTCTGGACTGTGATTGCCTCTGTGATTCAGTTCCTAACTTCTGTGTCCGGGTAGCCGGTGACGTCCCCCAGAGCACGTGCACGTTGCTAACTGGTTAAGTTGCGCTCCTCTGTCTAGTACTTTTATATGCAAACCTCTTCATACATGCAGAAGGAGGTTTCGTTTGTTAACAGCTTCGAGAATAACACTGAAATGAACACGCATCAACCTAGCACAGTTTAAGAAGACGGGGAGTGCTTGCTGCTCCTCAGTCAAAGACCACTGGGAACTTCCGGACCGAAACAACTAAGCGCAGCCCTCTCAGCATGAGGTCCTGAGCATCCTCAGGGGAGGCCATGGCTCTGTCTCTCTGTGCGTTCACTGTGCAGTTGGCTGGAGAAGATCCACGACAGGCCTCACCCTACCCAGTCCTGTTCAGTGACTGCTCATTTCTGGGAGTGGAGGTGGAGGGCCCTCTTCCCTGGAGTCTCCCTGCTGTGCACAAACCCCAGCACCTCCCTTGAAGCTTTTGGCCTGGAGCACGCCCCTTCTTCCCCTCTCTGAGCCCTACAGATGCTACTGCTATCCTTATTGTTCTCCTCCAGGCTCCCAGTGGGTCTTTGTCACTTCCAGCAGCCACCTGGGGGGGCCAGAGCCCTGGAGCCCCACGCAGGGGTGGGGCATTGGACATGGGAAGGAGTGAGTGAGCCCTCGTCTGAGGTCTCTGAGTTCATCTGCACAGGCATAGCCTGTCCCCTGCACAGGGAAAGGGGACAGCCGCCTATAGCAGAGCCACAGAGGCTGTGGAGGTCCCTGTAGTTGGTGTTCTGGGGAAGGGGAAGGGCCACATGCCATACAGAGGCTTGGGATTCCTGACCTAACGCTGTACCCTATGCATTTACAAGTAAACTGAGGCCCGGGGAAGAAGCTCCTTGGAAGAGGGTCATCTCTCTGTCTGGCTCAGTGGCTGGGAGCCATGTGTGTACCCCACTACTGAGAGCTGTGTCCCCCAAGAAACATGAAGACACTGCCATGCTTTTTGTAAAGAGCAATATAAATATATTTCCACATAGATAAAATACAATAAATAGGTGGCCGTCACAACACCTCTGGCTGTACAACAGAGGCGGCTGCCATGAGGCCTGATGGCCAGGGGACTTTGCCAGGGCCCTGTTGTGTTTGAGGTAAAACTGGATAGAAAGTGTCCCTTTAAAGGCAGAATCCTGCCGGACACAGTCTGGGAGCACCATGGTGGTGGGCCGGGGAACACAGCCCTGGGCCTCAGCCTGGAGGACCTTGGAGTCACTTGGAACATGGCCGGCAGTCACCAGGATCATGGTCTGGTACAGCCACCAGCCAGGGTGGAGAGCCTGGCTCAGAGCAGGCAGAGAGGTGGGTGGACCTCCTGCCTGCTCCAGGGCCAGCGTCGGGGTCCTGCCCACTCTGTCTCCACTCCTGGGGGCCTGCACCCTTCAGCCTGTCCTCAGCCGCAGGACCCTGGAGAAGGGCTCCTTGGCGCTGGAGTAGATGAGGTAGGAGCCGGCCGCAGTGTCAAAGGCCTCCCAGTCCCGGCAGCCGAAGGTAGGGAGGCTATGCACTGCCACGAAGCCCTCATAGCCCTGCCACCTGTGAGAGAGAAGAGTCAGCTGCTGGTGGCCCTGGGGCAGAGGCTGATTCCTGCCCGTGCTTCCCCAGGACTCCCCACCTCCCTGGGCACAGGCAGAGGTGCCACGCAGCCCCGGGCTTTCTGAACTCCTGGGCTGGAAGGCCCCTGTTCATCTCACAGAGTGGGAAACTGAGGCTCAGGGAGGGAGACAGTCCTAGCCAAGATCCCAAAGTCCCTCACATGCACCATGATCCTGACTTGGAGCCAAACGTGCAGAAGCGAGGTCAGAAATCCTAGTGGCTTTGAGGGTTTAACTGTGGGGTCAGCTGTGGGGTCAGCCGTGACTGTGGGCGCATGCCTCACCTTGACCCGCAAACAGAGCCACACACAAGTGCAGCACTCTCTGCTTTAAGCCTCCCACCAAGCCCCGTGTTAAGAGGCCTTGGCCACTGGCCATCAGTGGGTTTCCAGGGTTTACCCTTTAAACAAAGACGTAGTTTTTGTGGCTTCATTTTTGCAGGGAGAAGCCCCTGAGTGAGCAGGGGGGATAAGTGGCTTTAATTTAATATTTTTCCAGATTGCTTTCCAGAAAGATGGCAGTGAGCCCAGGTCATAGCCTGACTCTGAACTGTTGATCCTTAGGACTAACAGGTGGAAAATGGGCAGGGCCAAGCTTTGAGAACAAACCACTTTCCACACGCTTGATAGCTTTTCCATTTTTCTTCTGAAAATTCCCATTCATATCAATTGCTCATTTCCCCAAAATAAAAAATTCTTTTATTAATCTCCCAGGTTTACTTTCCTTGCACGTGTGGTGCTGTGCTATTTGATTTCGGTGAGATGTCCCTTTCTCCACATGAGCTGTTCACATTTAGGTGGCCAGACCTAGTGGCCACCAGCCAGGAATCTTCTTCAGACGATTTTGAGGTGATATAAAAGCACCTTTGTTTTTCTCCTAATCTTTTTGTTGTTGCATTTTTTACATTTGGAATTTTCTCACCCCCCACCCCCGGCCAATTTGGATTTTTAATTCCTATAAGATTCATTTTTGTATGAAGTAGAGATATAGCTTTGTTTTCCTCCAGATAGGTGGCAAATTATCTGAGATTATTTTATTAAATAACATGTCCTTTTTCATTTACTCCGAATACGACATTTATGGTATTAAATGGTCATGAATGTTTGGCTTTTCTAGGCTATATTCCATTCTACCCATCCATTTATTTTTAAAACATTGATTTGTTTTTGTGGTGCTGGAGATGGACCCAGGCCTCGGGCATGGTAGGCAAATGCTGTACTGCTGGATCACCCGGATGTTTATTCTGGCTGAAAACTCATCCTGCCTTGTTTACCTGAGGACAGGCCTCAGGTATTCATTTTCACTATTCATTTTCAAAGGTTCTTGCCATGTAAAACCTTTATTCTTCACATCCTGTTTTTTGGGTGGTTCTAGCGCTTGAACTCAGGGCCTCACACTTGATAGGCAGGTGCTCTACCACTTGAGCCACTCCACCAGCCCTTTTTTGTGATGGGTTTGTTCAAGATAGGGTCTCATGAACTATTTGCCTGGCTGACTTCTAACCACGATCCTCCTGATCTCTGTCTGCCTCCTGAGTAGCTAGGATTACAGGTGTGAGCCACCGGTGCTCAGCTTTCCATATCCATTTTGAAATTACCATGTGGAAAGTCTACAGCAACAGATTTCAAAGTCTAAAGAAAACTGATGATATTCTAAGAAAACTATAGATGTCCAAAGCTATCTCCAGAGAGATGGAGACCTGAATAAACCAAGAAGTGTGGGGGAAACTGGGAAAGGTGTCAGAGATGGTATTAAAAGGAATCAGGCCAGACGGTTTTGTAAATGAGCTTAGCTTACTCATGGCCCAGAGTTGCAGTGAGAAAATGCTGCAGTGTGCATTTACAACATCAGGCTTTGTGTCTAATCGGCTGACGGTGAGTCCCCAAAGATAATCACAGACCAATGCATTCCTATCACGGACACAAAAGTCTGGATTGCCAGCCGCGGATCTGGCAGCATAAGAGATAACCATGTGCTATTGTGGGGCAACAGCTGCAGAAGCACAAGGAAGCCTCACGCTGTGAATCACCCATCACGTCAACAGATGAAGAGAAACTCACAACAGGCTCTGCAAACCATAAACACAACTGGCTGCTTGGGGCAGGTGGATGGCAGGTCCCACTCCTGTGACGCTCAGTGACCACCTCAGAGAAGAGCAAGCCCAAGAACTTCTAGAACACTAGAGAAGCAACAAAAGCTTTGGAAAGCAGGGGGAAAAGCTGTCTTCATGCTCAGATGTAGTTACGTTCCCTGGTCCTCTGAGACTCGGCTTAGGAAAAAGATTAGAATTGATGAGGTCATTTGGTCAGGTGGCTAGACACAAAAATTGATGAGCAGCTGGGAATAGAAATAAATTACATCCATTACAACACTCGAAAACTCCTAGGAAAAACTGTAAAAAGAATGCCACCATGTCTGTAAGAGGAAAATGACATACGTGGAACTTCTGCTAGCATGACCACTTAGGAGTCTCTGTTCTGCTTCCAACAGGTGATGCCCTGGTCCAGCTCTGCCTGGGGATGTTACCTTGTCCCAATGGTCCCGACTGTCCCGAGCCTACAATCACCTGTGAGGGGAGGCGAGCCCCAAGGGCAGCCAAGGTAGGCAGGAGGGACCCTGGCTCTGGCAGTATTTACAGTGTTTACCTGTAAATAATACTGTTCACTGAGAAGCTGTTTCCATCGAAAGAGTTGGCGACCACCAGGAAGTGGTCCTCCCCTATGGAGAAGAACTCCCAGTCCAGGGCGCTGTGGAGAGAGGGAGCTGGTGTGAGGGTGTGGACACAGATGCTGCCAGGGTTGGGGCCCAGCCTCTGAACGGGTGTCACCTCTATGAGGTATACTTCATCTTCCCATGGATTTCTCATCCTCACACCGGCTTTATTCTAAACTTCCTTCCAGAGTGCCCAAAGCTGCTCGATTCTAAGCTGTGGCCTCAGGAGGAGCCGCGGTCTGACGACACAGCTCACAGCATGGAACTTGGCTCCCTGCTCATGGCTGTCCTCCCAGTGGCCACCATGCTCGTTTCTGGTGGGCACAGCTACTTGCTCTTCTTCTCTGGCTGAGGGTTCTTTTTTAATTTTAAGAACTAGATGAGGTGTTAAGCAGTGACCATTGTGAACCCCTGTCAGATGATTGAGAAGTTTGTGGGACACAAATGGAAAGTCCTCTTCACTGCCAGCACCCCCAGCCCACCCTGTTTCTGATGGCTGGGTGTGTGTGTCCCCTGCAGCACGATCTCCTCACATTTACACAGAACCCGCGGCCTCTGCATGCATTTGTTCTCCTGCACCGGGCATGTGACATTGTCCTGGGAAGTGTGGCGAGGACCCCGGTCACCCCGCCAACCATCCGAGAACTCACTCTGCCCTTCCCACCAGCCTGGCCTGGTACCTGCAGGTGGGGATGTCCTGAAACTTGACGAAGGTCTGCGCGGTGACGTTCAGCTCGTAGATGACCGAGCTGATGACGTAGGAGTCGTTCTGAAGCTGCATCTCCACATCGTAGCTGTGACTGTTGGCGACCGCCAGGAAGATCCTGTCCCCTATGTGGAAGACCTCCCAGTCTGCAGCGCCAAATGTCTAGAACAAAACGAGGCAATGCAGGAGGCAGTGAGGGCTCCCAGACCTGTCTGTGCCCCTCTTGGTGGTCATGCTGGCCTTACCACCATTGCTCCCTGCAGGAACTATGCCATACCCAGGTGTCTGTCCAAAGGGCCTTTCAGCTGGTGTCTGTCCCAAGAAGTCCATCTGCAGTAGCACCTTCTCCAGGGAGCCCTCTGGGTTCCTCCAGCTCTCCCCCACCGCCACTCTGAAACCATGTCTAGGGGCCTCTCATGCTTCCTCCCGCAAATTTTCCAGCCTTGGGATGTGGGGCACAGTTTGTCACTATACAGACTGCCTACAGTGTTCCTCTACCTATGGTTCTTCCATGGGACACTCAGCCCCTGGAGGTGTGGGATGGGTGGGGTGATGGAGCCTTCGCTATTGACCTTGAGCTTTGCAGGAGATTGAGGGGTCTATTTGCCTGTGAGGCCCACAAGAAGGAAGTATAGTGATGGAGTGCTGGGAGGGGAAGGGCTGAAGAAATCCAGACCCAGGCTGGGTCTGAGCCCTGGAGAGGCTCATGGGGACAGCAGAGTCCTGTTGGGAGATCTCCCAGGAAGGCAGGGTGGGGGTGGAGGCTATCGTGGGGAAAGGTATGTGGTGGCCCACATGGGGTCTGTGCTGAAGGACAGTGTGTAGACATTCCCTGGGGACCCCAAATCACAGCTCGGGAACTTGTGGCCTCAGCTCCTGATCTGTGAACACAATGGCAGGATGGAGCAAATGAGGCCGCATTGTTTTAAGTTATTACATCTCATGTGAAGCAGAATGACACTGATCCAAATAAACTAATGAATCGGTGCGTATATTGCAATTGCTGGTAAAGCACATTGAGCTAGGGTGAAGAGGAAACTGGATTTCCATATGACAAAGACTTGTATCCAGAATATATAAAGAGCTCTCACACACAAGTAACAAAAAGGCGAAAAAGTTAAGATGGAGCAAAATATGCAAACAGGCATTTCACGAATGGAAATGTCAGAAGCCAAAAAGCACACAGAAAGTTGCTCGAGATTACCAGCCCCCAGCAAACTGTACAACAAAACCACGTGGAGATATTACTTCAAACCCAAATGCCTAAAATTATCAGAAACTACAGGTAGCAACTGGAACACTTGTACCTTGCATGTGGGAGTTTGCAAAGTGGTACAACACTTTGGGAAACTCTTCAGCAATTTCTTCAAAAGTTAAATGACCCAGATTGCACTCCTATGTTTTTACCTCAAAGAAGTGAAAGGATGTCCATGGAAAGCCGTGCATGAGAACACACTTAGCATTTTCAGGACAAAGAGGAGACCCTCAGGCAGCCACCATCCGGAGGCTGGGTGGACAGCTGGTCATAAACTCTCACAACAGAAAGCCACTCAGCAAAGGTAAGAAACTAGCCAGTAGTCAGTCTCCAACAACACACAGATGACTGTGTAATGACAGGCAGGACGGTTAGGCCATTACAGATCAGCTGTGCCTGGTGGGCAGGGACAAAGGGCATGTCTCAAGTGGGGAAAGTTTGGCACATATTTGTGGTGGTGGTTAGATGGCTGTTTGCTGGAATGCTGAATTGGACACAAGCCTGAACTTTTCCTTGTGGGCACAAACAGATGAGTTCCAGAAAAATCCAGGTGCCCACAGGGCAAAACAAGCCTCTGAGGACAGGACTGTTTCTTGTCTTAAATCCTCTACACTGGCCAGGCTGTGACCCAGACACAGTGTACATGGGCTGGAAAAAGAGATGGATGCACCGATTCCTCCCTCCCCGTGGGATGCAGTGGCTGGCACCTCACAGCCTAAGTAGCCTGTGCTCAGTTTGAGTATGTGCAAGGATTGGAAAGACAGATGGAGGATGGAAGATAGCAGCCAGGGTTCCTTTGTCCCAAAGGGCTGGTGGTTAATCTTACGTGTCAGGTGAACCAGAGAGCTGGTGAGACTTTCTGGCTGTGTGTCTGTGAGTATTTCTGGAGATGGTCATGTTTGCCTCAGCGAACTGAGCCAAGAAGCTTGCCATCACCATTGCCTGTGGGTAGCATCCAACCTGGTGAGGGCAGATCAAGGAAAAGGGCAGAAGAAGGGAATTTTCTCTGCCTGGACTGGGACAGCCCTCTTCTGCTCTGGGTGTCAATGATCCTGGTCCTCAGGCCTCTGGGTTGGGACTGGATCTTACCACTGGCTCTCCTGGGTGTCCAGTTTGCACGAGGCAGGTTGCGAACTTCTCAGCCTCATATGAACTGATCCCCACAGAGCACCTGCTCTCGTTTATAGACTCTACTGGTTTTGTTTCTCTGCGAACTCACGCTAATCTAAACGGTAACTCTCAAATTGTCTAGCTGCCTGGAAAGTTCGGAGGGGACCATTGGATCCACAAAGCTGTGTCCTGTACCTGCTTCCTAGGCGAGAACAGTTTGCTTTCAGTATTCTAGGCAAGCAGTTTGGGCACATTTCTCTGCTCCGTAATCCCCACTAAGGGTAAGAATCCACCTCCATATCTCGCCTTCTGGGGCCACCAGATACCCTGTGGAGACTGGGGTGACCCCTGAAGTTTGGATAACAGCTGGTTTCCTGTCTGCGTGTTACCTCACCCTCCCCTGCTCCCTGTGATTTCAGGATGATACTCAGGGATGGGTTCTACGGGGATCCCTGTTGTCATGATCAGGAATTGAGCAGGGGTGCAGGAAGATTGAAGCCATGAAGCAGACAAGAGCCCTGCCAGTTCTATAGGCTTGGCTTGTGGCTGCTTCCTGGGGACACTGTGCACCCCACAGAGAAGGCCATCTTGGGGAGATCCCAGTTGTCTTGGCTGGGGTCATTGTCCTGTTGTGGAAATGAGCCTTGGATGAGCCGATTGCATCTCTTCCTGGTTCAGCCCACACCCCAAGGACCTCCAGCTCCAGGGACTTCTCACAGCACCCAAACCACATAGGAAGAGGCCAGGACCTCTAGGTCTTTTTGACCTGCCCTCTGCAGAGGTCAGTAACCTCCTCACCTGCAAATTCGGGGCAGTGCTGCCCAGATGTCTCTTGCTAGCTGGCTGGCACTGCTGGGCATTTAGAAAAAACAAACTCTAGGCCAAATGGAAAGCTTCGTTCTCTCCATGGACAGCAGGGGGCGCTGCTGCCTGTCCGAGCCCAGCCGCTAGGCAGCAGGTGAGACCAGCATCTGGTCACTTGAACACTGCCCGAAAGCCTGCCCTAGAATCAGATCCAGATCAGGCCTGAGGAGGCATGGAGTAAGTTCAAGCTAAGAGCAAGACTTGTGGGGACAAGGACGAGGGACATAGGACTCCCGTCGGTCACCAAACCCTCAATGGGGCCAGCAGCTGGCTGAGGCTCTCTGGATTCGGGAATCCTTTCCTCACACACTGTTTCTGACTTCTGGGGGGCAGCATTCAGGGCCACCCATGTCCTCTGAGTGGACGGTGACACTTCAGGCCTTCAGGACCTTCAGTCTCATCTGCCTTTGGTTGCTTCACAGAAGACAACCGTTAGGCACCCACGCATATGGTATGATACCAGCCAGTTTTCTAACACCACAGAGGAGAAACAGAAGTTGTCAGGCTATATTACATCATTCCCTTCTGGGGACAACCACGTGTGTGCACACTTGTGCACATGCTGCCTGCACACATGTGCACACACACACCTGCACGGGCATGCTCACCGTCTGCATGCACACAAATATGCGTGTGTACATATGCAGACACGTGTCCACATGCAGTGAACACACTCGCACAGCGCATATGTGTGTCCACACCTGTTCCCCCAGCATATGCATGCACAGGACCATACCTGGTGCAGACGTGCACACACACACACACACACACACATGTATGCACACATGCCTGCACACAGACATTCCTGTAGGCACTCACATGCACACACCTGCATGGTCACGCTTGCACGCATGTACACTCCCCCAGTACAAGTGTCACATTCCAGGCTTTCTTCCTTCTCAGAACCTGTTCACTGTGTTGAGGTGGACTCTGGATGGACTCTCAGGGAAAAGCCCTGAGGTGGGCTCTTCTGGCACTGGGTGAGCAGTGCCAACTTCGTGCCAAGCCAGGCCGAGCCTCAGTGATGGGTAAAGTGTCCTCCTACCCCCAAAGGGCCTGTATGGGGACCCACACATGGGGACCCGGAGGGGCTGCCCAGGGGTTCTTCTGTGCTCCCACACAGAAGAACCAGTGCTGTGTGGAGGAAGGAGAGGGTGAAAGGTAGGGAAGAATGGCCAGGCAGCAGGAGTAGCAGGGCACATGCAGGGGAGGGAGCCTGGCACAGGCAGGTAGGAAGGATGGAAAGAGGAGGCTGGGACAGCTTGGGAGGGGGCTGGATGCTGTGGAAGGGCGTCAGGAGACCCTTTGGGGACCCTGGCCCATCCCTAGGGTGTGAGAGGCACAGGGCCTGCTGTAGGCACCCGTGAGCGGGGCTCCAAGGTGGCTCAGTCCCTCTCCTGCTCCCTGTGCCAGGGTCAGGGAACCTGATTCTGATTCAGCAGACACAGGGGACCCTTCCATCTGAATTTCAGATAAATGATAGGTTTTGAGAGTTGCAGGACACACTTTTATGGAAACAATTATTCATTTTTTTATCTGAAACTCAAGCTGACCAAGGTGCCCTGCATCTTGTCTGGCTAGGGTCTGGCAAAGACCAGCAGGGGGTGTCGCTGACTCTCAGTGCTGGGCCTTAGCTGGTCAGGCCCACAAATGGCCAGTCACAGATCTCAGTGGTCCCACAAGCCAGGCTGCCGGAAGCCCCCTCATGGGCAGACCACACTTGCCTCTGCTGGCCATGGGCTCCTCCCCTGTGAAGGAGGGGGGCCTCCAGGGCAGCATGAGCAGGGGCACTGGGTGTGCCACAGGCTGGCAAGTCACTCCTGGGCTCCCAGTGCATTGCAGGGAGAAGATCTCCACATCAAACGACCTGCCAGCCCTTCACGGCACTGGAGCCTAGTGGCCAGGCACCTGCTGGGTGGGGCAGGTCCTCCCCTCTTTTCCCAGCTGAATCCCATGGTGAGGGTGTTGACGGGCTCGGGAGCACCTCGGTTGGGTGATGTCACTCACGACCTGCAGCCGGAGCACTGGAGCTCTGACAGCCCCCATGAGGGTAGATGGGTACTTGCCAATCAGTGGATCAGTCACTGGGCAATGAGGTCTTGGGTTCTGGTATTGATGGAGAAAAGAATGAGGATGCTTGTGTGGTCCGGGAGTGCCAGGGAGGGAGGGGAAGGGGGGATACATGGCCAGGGCTCCCTCCCCAACTGCCAGGGTAAGGCACTGCTGTCTCACTGCGGGCCATCAGCTCAGGCCCAGGGGGCATCCCTAGAGGCTGCAGGGGTTGTGGTGCTGGGGCACTGGGCCCGGCACACTTGCTAGCCAGCTCCTGGTGCTCCTCTGTGCTCTCATCTGACCTTAGAGGACCCCCTAAACCTGGCACCTCTGCCAGCTGCCCAGGCCACTGCCAGCTCCTGTCACAGTGAAGACAGAAGTCAAGGGGCATGGCTGCTGTGTTTACAGAGCCCTCTTGCCCAGCATCACCCAGCATCTTCCCAGGGCTGCCCTGGTTGGTGCTGGCCTCTGGGAGGGATTCACTCACACCACTTTTCACTTTATGGAGGAGGAAACTGAGGCAGACAGGCCTTCATGTGGCCCGGCCTCAGTATGTGTGTGTGTGTGTGTGTGTGTGTGTATGTTCCCAGCCTGCCTGTCTAATCTGGCTGACACCTGTCCTCAAAGCTGCACCTGCTGTGCTCTGCCCAGGTGTCACTGGTGTACACCACCATGGAAGTGTGTGCACCTGTGCACATGTGTGTTGGGAAGCACTGGTTCTGACCCTCAGGAATCATGGAATGCCTTGTTTTGGGCACATCTGTGACAAGCAGTCCGTGCTGACCTGGTGGCCACTGCTGTCCTTGTTATTACTCTACCACTCCTTAGCCACAATTTCAAACCCACAAAGCTCCAAAGCTGCAAGACTTTTGCAGTCTGCAGCCAGCTCGCTTAGAAGCAAAGTCCACCCACTCAGACGTGAGGCTTTCAAAGTCTGTGTGGATGTCGAGTGTGCACCTGCAGAGTGCATTTTTATTACAAGGCACCGCTGGGTGGTGGACAGGGCACAGGGCGTGGCCTTGCTACCTTGCAGGTTTGGGAGCTTTGGGCATAGGACTGTGATGATGACATCAGTTTCACAGGGATACTAAGAGCTGCTGGAGTGTACACTGATTTGCAGGATACCATTGCTTGGAGATCTGACCCAGAAGCAGAGGTCTGGCGTGACCCTCAGCAAGACAGAGGAAGATGAGGAGGGTTTTGGTTGAAGTGGAGGATATTGGATGACATGGAAAATGTCTAGGCTGAAGGTGTCTAGTCTTCCAGGCACAGAGGGCCCACCGTGTCGTGTGTGCATGCTCCAGCGTGCATGCCTATGTGTGCACAAGTGTGCAACTGTGTAGTGTGTGTGCACCGGGATCCTGAGTGTGTGCTCTCCTGCTGATTCTGGGGATTTGGGGCAGGAGAGAAAGAGGTGCCTTGTTTACTTCAGGATCTCATCCCCACTTTTCTGCCTCTTTTGTGTCTCCCTGGACATTTGTGCTCTTCATGGAGATTGCTTCTGACATGCCCGCACCTCACTCCCACCCCCAGACACCTGCTGATGACTCTGGGACAGTGCCTCTGGCCCAGCTCCTTCACAAGCCCCAGACTTAAGCCTCCACCCTGCATGGGTCCCTGTGCCAAGCCTGTGCTTTCTATTCAGCCTCCTCCCTGACCTCCACTACTGGCCTCCTTTCCCTGAGCAGCACACGTATGGCAGCAACAATCCTCAGTCTTGGTCAGAAGCCTGGCTGCCCCCTCCCATTCTCCCCTGTCCGGGAGCCAACACTGCCCTGCTGCTGTGTGGTCTGAATGTGCTGTGCAAACACAAGCTCACACGGAGGCTTGGTCTCCGGTGTGAGTGGACCCTGCTGGGCATGTCGAGGTACAGGGCAGAGCCCCACGGAGGGATCCCAGCCTCTTCCTGAGTGGGTTCTTACTCTCTGAAACTGGGTTAATGACAAAAGCAACAAAGCCAGTGGTCACAGGCCCAACAACCCATCAGCTCAAGCAGCAGAAACCCTGCAGCTGGAGGCTGGATCTCCCAGGAGAGGCTGGATCATGGGAGTCCGGGTCTCTGCCACCTGGAGGAAGGTTCTAGAATTCTTGTGTGAGGACTGAGTGCCTGGAGGGTAGGGCCAAGGACTGTGCTTCTAATTGTGCCCCCCTGGGTGGCAGCCAGCTTCTGCTCACCCTGCCACCGGCTGCAGGACTCTGCATGCCCACGACCTCCCTCTGAACCACCACACAGAGCCCTGACCATGGAAAGACAGCGAGGTCTGTGTGCATGGCCACTCACAAATTGCCCCCAGCCTCCGTCCTGGACCCTTCCAGAAAGGGGTCCTCTGCAGAGGCCGGTGCCTCCCCATGGCTCACACGCACATGCAGAGCCTGGGGACCTCATCTACTTCAAAGCTCATGTTCGTGACAGAGCAAAACTCAAGCCCAACAGTAAACAGATGAAGACATCTCCAGGGCCGAGAAGGATTTACACAAAACGAGAAGAATGTTGGCAAAACATGAAAGTGGACTTGTGCAGGTTTGAGGAACTAGGAGGGGCGAAGAGACGGGGCTTGTGAGAGAAGACAGCTGCCCAGGCAGGACAGGGAGGAACCCTGCCATCTGTGCGTGGTCCTGGCCCTGCCCAGGGTCCTGCAGACTCGTGCAGGACTCCGCCACCACCATGGCCCCAAGTAGCCCACTCCCTGCTGAGTCTGGCTTCAGCTTGTTTCTGGTCTTATGTCCCCAGACATTCTGCTCCGCCCTTCTCTTCTCCTGGGCGCTTCTCTAAGGAGTGTCACTTGCCTCCTCTCCTGGCCTGCCTTCCCCCTAGGTTAGGGTTCTGCCTCTACCCTTTGCCAAGGTCAGTTCTTAGATGCAACCTGAAAGCGCAGAGTGACTGCCACTGCCTGGTGGGCCTTTCTATCTCCACGCAGGTCACCCCCTGCAGAAGCACCCCATTTCTCTCAACAACCACAGTCCACAGATGTCTCCTGTTGCCATTCCAAGCAGGCTGAGATCACAAAACTGTGTCTTGTCTAAAGACCTCCTCTCTAAGGTCTTGTCAGTACGTAGTGTTGGGAGCCAGTTGAGATACTTCCAAGTCTAAAGGAGAGACATCTGCCCCCATCCAGCCCTACACTGCCCCAGAAGAGAGTTAAGCTGACTGGCTGTCCCAGGACTGGAGACCTGGCACCCCTGAGACACAGAGCAGGGCTCAGAAACATGTGGCAGGGTGAGCAGGACTACTGTGAGCACCCAGAGCTGCTCTGGCATGGAAAATGCCACACCAGGGACATCACAGAGCCAAGGTGCCCTCCCTACACGCTTTGGGCTCTACTCAGGAGTGTCAGAGGTTGCCACTGCCAACAAGGACTAAATTGGCCTTGTGCCATCTAGAAGACTCAGGCACTGGGATGGAAGGTTCGGGCCACACTGGTCCTGGCTGTCATGGGCCCTCCCTCCTGGTCACCTGTGTCCAGCAGGTACACACTGTAGATACGAGATGTCTTTGGAGAGAAAATGGATAAAACTCAGGCTCCTTACCAGGAAAGACTGGAAGAGCTGGAAGGAGCCGACCAGCCAGATGTACAGGTGGGAGTGAACCTTGGTAGAGGTGCCATTGAAGGTGTTGGCCACCACAAGGAATGAGTAGGGCCCCACGGTGAAGAACTCCCAGTCATAGGCGCCAGAAGTGGCGATGGTCTGGTTGACCTCGAAGAGCTGCGTGCTAGGGTTCCACTTGTAGATGATGCTGTCAATGTTGTGATTGTCACCTGGAGCCAAGAATGGCGTTGGGGGAGGGGACATGGCAGCTGGCAGAACACAGCCCTCCCTGGTAGTCCCACTCCTAATCCCCACACCCTTTGGGTCTAATTAGGGACATGTGGCCGCTCTAGACATGCCTGCTCACCTGAGTCCCTCTCACCCCATCCCCTGGCCATCACACCCCAGCCTCTGGGCCTCCATGGGTTCTGTTCCCAAGTGAGAAAGCTCAGTGGCTCCCACAGCCTTCCAGAAAGCTACACAGACCTACAGGGGACAAGGCCTCTCACCTCCCCAGCCTCATATCCCTCCAGCGTCCTCTCCTGTTCCTGCAGGTCAGAACTTCCCACAGCACACTCCCAGCACCCCCTCCTCCATGGTCAGCTCTTTCCAGGCCTGCTCTGCTGGAGCACCTATCCTGTGGGACACCCTGGTTGTTGGCTTCTGGGTTCCATTTTGCCCTCGAATGGGATGGCTGTGGGCTCCTCCTCAGGTCCCCCACAGGAGTGTCTGGTGGGCTGCAGAATGGGTGAATGCTGAGCTGTGTGGCCAGGGAGGCTGGGTGGGAGGTTCCCTGCAAGATGGCTGTCTTCTTGGACCCAGTCCACCCCCAGGAGTTGCAGGACTGGGAAGACATATTGGCAACCAGTCATGGGAGGAGCAGGGCCAGGGACCAGGCGTCCCAGCCTCTCCCAGACTACAGAGTGTGCTCAGAACAACAGCCTGCATGTCCTCAGGGCATCAGCAACTCCAGATCCAATCCCTGCAGCCACGGACCCCACAGCCACACACGCCAGCATTCCTGCGACTGACTGGGCTGCGTTCAGAACCCTGCCTGCTCACCTGTGCCAGCCAGAATCCAACCAAGCGCAGATTGCCGGCTCGTTAGTTATTTTCAAACTGGGGGGAAGCCAGTGGACAGAGTCTATGCTGGGATTCTGGAGGCCCATGTCTTGGAGTGTCTTCCCGTAGGTGGGAGCCACACAGGACCCTGTCTGTCTTTCTTACCTAGGCAGATGAGCAGGTGACTGTGATGGAGTTCATGGGTGCTCACTCTTATGTCAAACGCCAGATAGGTGAGCTCCAGGAAATGGGCCAGGTTTTTTCTTTCTTTCTTTTTTGTTGTTTTTTGAGACAGGGTCTCACTATATAGTACAGGCTGGTCTTGAACTTGTGAGCTGATGTCATCATTATCACCAACCATCACCATCAGTGGTACTAGGGTTTGAACTCAGAACTTCACGATTGCTAGGCAAGTGCTTTACCACTTGAGCCATGTTCCCCCTCCCCCTTTAATGAGATGAAAATTCTCCTGCACATAAGTCATGCTCTACCCCTGGAGTCACTTCCTTTTGGGTCAAAGATCACACCTGCCTTACCTTCCCGGTGGTTGGCCACTGCCAGGAAGTGTTCCCCATCCACCTTGAAGGCCTCCCAGTCCCGGGCACTATGGGTGACAATCCTCTGGTACAGGGTGAACTTCAGCTTTCTGGGACTCCATTTGTAAATCACTGAGAACTCCTGACCCCGTTCATTCGGGCCGAAGTTAGCCACTGCCAGAAAGATCTGAAATAGGTAAACCCGGTCGGCTCAGTTCTGATAGGTGCTGGGGGTCGCTACTGAAGGTTTCTGAACTTTAGTGTTTCTCTCACATCTAAGCCCACCCTCTGTTAGGGCTCACTGTGGGGTGGCTGGGAGTTGGTGGCTGGTTCCCCATATCTGGTAATTTTCTATCTCTATCTAAATTCAAATCAAAACAAATTCCAAACTCAGAAAATGCTTTATGTTCAAAGCTATTCCCCAGGACCTGCATGGGTAGAAAACACATTAATGACCCTCTCAACAGAAAGGAGGGCCAAGATGGCAATCATGTGACATGGAATGCTCTAACTTTGCGCAGTTGTGACTACAACAGGGGCAGGAAGTGTGGCTCGCCGTTCACCTGCACCATGTGTTTGCCAGAGATGGGAAAAACATTTTCCTCTTTGTCTGAGTTTCCCAGTTTTTCTTGGATTGCATATTTCATTTTTATAATAAAGACAACGAAACAATTTAAAATGTCATCAAACCCAAAAAGAAAAAAACGCACTAACTGTTCATTCACCACTCTGAACTTGGACACAGCGGGGTCCACTGTGGAGGGAAAGGTTCTGTCTGCTTGATGCCCAGTGTCTAGATGAGGGCCCAGCTGTGCCCAGGACGTCTTTGCTGGGCGAGTATTTGGAGGATAGTCATGAGAAGCTGGCTCTAGGACATTGTCCTTTGGAGTCCAGGGCATGGAAGGAGCTGGGAAGAGAACATTCCATCCTTCCTGCTGTGATGTCAACACCTTGCTCAGTCCCTCTGCCTAGTCCAGCCTGGTTGAAAGGGACCACCTGCGTGAGCTGTCCTCCTCTGCCTCCTAAAGCCTGGCTGTCACCGTCCATTTCAACAGACATCCCGTATCCTCAGATCTAGTATCCCTGGGCAGTGATTTCTGCACTGTGACTGGCTCTGTAAATAATCTCACCTGGGTTTGGATTTGGCCATGTTGGGTCCACAGAACTGGACAACATCTTAGACACCTCCCATCCAGGTGGGGGGAAGTTGAAAGACTTCTCAGTCATGTTCTAGATTCAGAGCTGAAGCCCAATGCCTGTGACTTTCAGTCTCTCTCCACCCCACACCAGCAAGGTTTTGGAACCCTCAGAAATGCTTTGACATACAGAGTCTGCAGAAGAAGCCCCAGCCGGTGGGCATTGGGAGGCTCCAAGTTAGCAAGGAAGGGGAAGCCAGCAGCTCAGACTTGCCTTCTTCCCAATGGTGAAATGTCGCCAAGACTGTGCCTGGTGGGTGAGGATGTTCTGGTAGGAGACGAACTTGCCCTCCGTCCATTTGTAGATAGCAGACCTGGCTTTCCGATTGGCTGTTGCCACAAAGAGCCCCACATTGGGGATGTGGAACACCTCGATGCCCAGTGTCTCAGAGTTTGTGAACAGGCTTTGATGCTCTTCCACGTAGTCTAGTTTGGCTTTGGCTTGAGATGGGAAGATTGTGATCCAGTTAGCATGCCCAAGATCCCCGGGAACCATCCCCAGGGCCCCAGCCACAACACAAGCCTTAGCCCAGGGCCCCAGGTTTCATGAAGGGCAGTTTCCCTGCATCCTCCTTCTACCCTAGTGGGAAAGGCCTGTTAAGGGACATTGCTCCTTTCTGCCAGAGGTTCTGGCGGTCCTTTGATACAAACAGGATGAAATTTATACCATATTAAAATATTTCCCAAGGTTCCCTGCTTCAACAATTTGTGCCTTGGGTACAGGAGGGCATATCCCATGGGGGAGCAGCTGCTTCTTCCTGTGACAGCCTGTTTGGAACCTCGGTCCCTGTCTCCAGTTATGTTCCCCCAGCTGGAATGCACTGTGAAGGGCTCGAATAAAACAAAGCTTCTAGGTGTGTGGCAACATGTCATCTTATCAGTGGCCTAGTAGACAGGAGAGTGAGGGCCGGGACACATATGAGGAAGACCACAGGAGGCCTCAGCTCATCTCTCCTGCACTCTTCTCTGGTCATTTGGGAAGAGGAGCTGAGGGATGATTTCCAAATTGAATGCATCAGCTCACCATGCCTTGTTAGCATCAGTTCTGCACCCTGAGCAACACGGGCTCTGAGGACAGCCCTGAGGCTTGCCTGGGCAGGGCTACCACCTGCTCCAGGTGCCATTACTCTCAGAAGTGTCCCCACCTGGGCAACCAAGCACGTGACCATCTAAAGATGGTCGAGGCCCCTCACGTCTTCACCTCACTCCCACACCCAGGGCATTGTGGGATGCGGACACCAAGTCCTGAGCTGGCCTCACCTGCTAACACCGAGACCCACTTGCTGCCCATGCACAAGTACAGCCCCCTCCGGGCAGCGTCAAACCAAAACTGGGCATCCTCCGCCTTGGTGCAGGGTGGCTGGGACCCCAGAGTCACTTTCACATCGGTTTCTGTGGGGAAGACCAGGAAGAAAAGTGTCCTGTATGTCAGGGCTGCCTGGGGGAGGATGCCACCAGAGGGTTCCCCAAACCAGGTGGTTCTCTCTTGCCTTTGCATGTGGCTAGAGGGAGCCCCGGGTATCTTGGGGCGGCCTTGCCACATTGCAGGTGGAAAGGGTGAGACGGGGTGAAGAGAGTGAGGCAGGGCGGGGAGGTGCAGCCGGCCACCTGCACGACAGGACACCAAGACATTCCCTGTGTGGCTGGCCATCCCTGGCCACTGTGCACTACAGGTGTGGCTCTCGGTCCCTTTGCCTGTGGAAGTCACTAGTAGCTGTGTGCTGCTTTTCTCTGCCCCCAGTGCCTGTCCATAGGGGCACTAGTTGCTAACTGTGTTTGTGCAGCATTCTGACCTCACCTCTTCTCGTAATGATGCCTGGCCACAGGTCAACCAATCCTGCTACTTCTCCACCTTATGTGGACAACTGTCTCACTCCCAGCTGTGTGACACAGTAAATCCTAAGCTGGACATGTGTGGGTGGGGGCTCTCCTGACTTGTGAACTGAGAATTATGAATCTTGGGAGGGGGTCTCCAGGAAGAGGTCAAAGAGGGAAGGTTAGCTGGTGCTGGCCTGTCTGATGGCACTGTCTGCTTTCCTGGGTGGACGCAAGTGTTCCTGCAGCGAGAAGCGAGGCAGTGAGGTTGAGAAGGGAGCCCTGTGCAGGTGAAGGTTCGGGATGTCTCCTTGGGGTGGGGAGTGGGTGGCCTCACCTACTAACCATAGGGATATTTCAGCACGTCGTTATCATCTGACTTCCTCGGAAGCCCCTGCAGTGCTCGTGGGATGGACAGCTCGGCCAGCTGGGCGTTCCTGCTGGGACACAGCCGTGGGGTGGCGTCTGAGCCAGGCAACATGACAAGCTGCCTCATGAGGCCCTGCAGAGAGAGGGGCAGCAGCTCAGTCCTGCGGCTGCTGGGGGCATTGGCCCCAAGGGACAGTGAAGGGACATGAAGTCTAATCTTCAGAGCTAAGGGAAGAGTCTGCATGTTGATTGTCAGGGAGCAACAGGGAGCAATGGCAAAGAACTGAACACCATTCCCAGATAAACCATGGATGGAGTTTCCGTGTTGACTTTCTTAGAGTGACCAGACTACATTGTGTGTTCATCTGTCCATCCATTCTTCTAGTCACCCATCCATCCATCCAACCGTCCATCTCTGTCCCTCCATCTAAATGTTCACATTTACCTATCCATCCACCATCTGTCCATCTATCCATCCTCCAGCCCATCCAACATCCATCAACCATCCATCATCTGTCCATATCTGTCTTTCTGTCCCTCCATTTATTCATCCATCAACCATCCATTTGTCTGTCCATCTACCCTCCCTTTGTACCTGTGCCTGTCCAAGTATGGCATCAGTAAATTGTCGCAGGATACCTACTGTGTGTCAGGCATGGTTCCACGTGCTGTGGACGCCATAGGGAACCACAGCCCCGTCCCCTACAGAACAAAGTTCCCGCCCTCACCCTAGGGCAGAAACAGCAGCCAGCAAACTCAGCAGGCCTGGGCAAGGGCAGGGCTCCTGAGAAAGGACGGCACAGGGCAGGGCTGGGAGGGCTGGGTTTGGGCACTGTCTTATTACAGTGGTGGGGGCACCTCCATGGTAACAGGACCCAAGGGAGGGACCTGGGGGACTTTGGGAAGAATGCACTAGGAGGAGGGACTAGCAGTGCCACGCCCTGTGGTGGAGACTCACGGGTGCCCCCTGTGCTCTCATCTGGCACAGCCGACAGTGTGTTCACGCAGCCCCTCTGCACTTACTGTGAACAAGCCTTTGCTTCTCCTCCGGCTGCCGACGAAGAACCGGGCTCCTTGCACTGACAGTGTGGCTGGGAAGGGCATGTCAGCGACTCTGAAAATAGCAGGGGACAGTTTTAGGGCCACAGGACAGCAAGGCCATGTCCTGTTTGTTTACAAAAGGAAAGGAGTGAGAATCCTGAGTGAGAAGTGTGCCCACACACGGTCAGTTTAAACCACAGGCATTTGTCTGGAGGCAGAACCAAGGAAACCTTACTTCCTGGTCTCCAACAGGAAGGCCACTCTGAAGACCACACAGGGGAAACGCCTCATCATTTATTCTGACAAGTCAGGGGATGATTTCTAGGACTCAGGTGCCACAGCCCCATTGTTCTCAGGTGCTGTGGCAAATCCGAGTCAGATGATATTTTGGTCCAGCCAAACCAACTTTCTTGTGCTGGTAGAGCCTGTGCCGGCCCGGGGCCCTGCCAGCCTGCGCATGGTCTCTCCTGCATCCTGTGCTTGACAGCAGCCAGCAAGGCAGGCTTCCCTCTCTTGTGACCTGGGAAGTCATTGCCTTCCCAAGGCCCTAAAGAATTTGGGGGAAGGTGGGAGAAGGGCTGTGATAAAGACATGTTTAAAATAAATGGATAAAGGTTAGAGGCTCTTTTTATTATGAAATAAGTGTCACAATAACAAACTAGACTGAGCCTTTGAGAATAATGCTTGGAATCCCGATAGATTTAATATAAACGGGGTCATCTGTGATTAGAAGGAACTGCCAGTGGATGGTGAGGGTGACACGGTAAGCATCCGAGCTGAGCTTAGGGACTTGCCGCCCTGGGGCGGGGTGCTCATGCCAGACCTCAGAAACCAGGCAAAGGCAAACAAACTCAAGCCGTAGAGGTCCCCAAGAACAGAGCGTTATCACACACATTCACCTGGAGTTTTTGTGAAGATGGACTCCTGCATCCCCGTCGGGGACACAGTGTGGGAAACACAAGGCAAGGCCTGCCTGACATGGGCTGGGTCAGCACACACCGAGTGCTTCGTGAGCTCCTCTGCCATCTGCAGAGATGCAGACTGTCCACAGCACACGTCACTGGGGCTGCATCCCTGCGCTAGCTCCAGAAACCAGAACCACTCCATTGCATCGCCTTAGCCTGGTTTAAGCCCCTGATTCTCTGAAGTGTGATGAGTTTTGTTTAAGGAAGGGAGACAATTAAAACCTGGCTGACAATATGTAGTTTGTGTCATGAATGTCCAGGCCTGGGTGTCCTGCTTCTCACCCAGCCTGCAGGCCCTCTCTCAGCACACACCCAGGGAGGGCGTTAGCTCCTCTCTTCTCCCCAGTGTCTGCCTGGCTCTCTCATGTCCCTGACCCTTATCCACTGTGGCCACTGAAGGCAGGATGGCCCTTGCCCTGACAAGGACCTCTCAGTGACCTGCTCCAGGGGACAGCTTCTAAGGTGACCTCCAAAAGCCTGCCCTCTGGACAGGGGTAGGGATGGCACTGCACAGTGCCAGGGGCTGCCCGATGGCCACTGGGAGGGCTGCTCAGGCACAGCACCCAGCCTTGCAAACCCACATGAACCCCTGTGTCCAGGTACCTACATGTCCAGAGGAAGGCCGCAGTCTGTGGTGATGGAAAAAGCTCCTTGGGAAACAGCCAAGACCAGCGTGTGCCACTGGCTGTCCATGAGGCCGGGGTTACGGAAGGACACACGGGTCTGCCAGGCGCCGGCCTTGTCCTCGCTGAGGAACAGGAAGTGCAGCTGGGTGGACGAGTACCGCAGGCCGAGCAGCAGCGTGTCCTTCTCCTCCGCCACCACCGTGAGCAGGTACTCGTTCTTCTGCAGAGAGCAGGTGTGAGGGGCGGGGCCATGGGAGGGGCGGGGCCATGGGAGGGGGCGGAATGGCAGGAGAGGGTAGCCAATGGGAGAAGGGAGCAGGACAAGGGAGTGGGCGGGGCTATGGGAAAGGGGGCAGGGCAAACGGAGAGGGTGGAGCTGATGGAAGACGGGGTAGGGCTGGAGAGCTGGGGCAGGGCTGACCCTGGGAAAAAGGCAAGGGACCGAGCCACTGGGAAAGGGCAGGGCTGCCGTGCAATCCAGCAATTTCACTTCTGAGCCTGTACTCAAAAGAATCGAGGTGGGTATTTGTAAACCCACGTCCACAGCAGCTCCTACAATAGCCCCAAACTGTGGAAGCAACTCAGGTGTCCATCAGCGGGTGAGTGGGTAAGCAACAGTCATCTGTGCATACAGTGGGATATTATTTAGCTTTAAAAAGGAGGAAATTCTCACAAGTTACATCACGAATGAAACTTGGGGACATTACGCTGATTTAAATAAGCCAGGCATGGAAAGAAAAATAGTGTTAGCTCCACTTACACAAGCCCCTGGCATGGTTAAATTCACGGGGTTAGAAAGCATGGTGGGAGTTAGTATTCTATGGGGATTGCTCGATGAAAGTTCTAGATAGAGAGGGAGGGATGGTGGTGATGTTTGCACAACAATGTGACTGCACTCAATGCTGTGTGCACGAAAAGGTTAAGACCGTAAATTTTATGTTGGGTATGTTTTGCCACAATGAAAAAGCAAGCATGGCATAAGCAGGATTGTGACCTTCCTCTGCAGCCCTCGGTGTCTGCAAGTGATGGGCCTTTGACCATGCTTGTCTGCTGTTGTTCTTAGCCTAACACCACTGGGGGCAAAGAAGGACAGATGGTGCCTGAGAAGGAAAACAGACAATGAGCACAGCTACGGTGTGCGTTCGTGCGTCATGACTGTGTTATTTTCTTCAGCAGCTCTTTGCTCACTGGAAGTCAGTTCCATGCACTCGTGCTTCTCAAGAGGTGGAAGACTTCCTGTGGTCTTCAGATTTAATTTAATGTCCACTTTAGCAGAATCCACGTGTCCTAGCATGGGTCACTTGTACCTGGCAGTTCTGAAGTCAGAGAAGACCACCTGGCTCTGTCAGCTTCCGTGGTGGGAGGGTCGCCTGGACTTACCTGCTGGGAGAAGGGACTTCCCAGCTGGGACTTATAGGAAGTGGGATTGATGCTTGGAATCTGGGAAGTGACAAAGGACAAAGTCTTCCTGTGATGTCTGGGAATGACAGAGAGCTATACCGTTGGGCAGGGGGCTGGGAAGGGCAGTGGACTCCACAGCCCACAGAACTCAGTCCAGGGTTCACACTGGACTGAGGAGCAGGGCGAGTAGGGACTGAGTCTTACTGGGAGTGGCCCTAGCCCTGTGATCCTACCCCCTCCAGGAGTTAGCCACTGTCCCTCTGATTACTGAGCTAAGTCACTCACTCCTAGAAATATTGCTGGCTAGAGGAGCCCAGTGTCTGCTCAAATCCCGTGTCCCATAAGTATGAGAGGAGGAGAATCAGGTTTCACTTTTATTGGAGCCGGGGAGGAAGTACAGGGCAAGTGACACTAAGCAGAGTACAGGAAAGGAGGGAGGACAATGATCCAGAGGGCAGGAGGACTCCTGGAAGGCAGGAGGGAGGAGGGAGAGCTCAGGTCAGCACAGTGCACACAGAGGCCCCATCTTGGGGTGGGGACACCTGCTTAACCCAGGTTGCGAGCAGACTAAGAGGGCCATGAGGCAGGAACTGAGCCCACTGGCCCTGCACCGTGTTCATCAGCAGCTGGACTTCTGGCCTGAGGAGAGACCACAGCAGGCAGGACGGCAGAGCAGGGACACACTGGAGGCTGCTGGGCCACAGCAGCTGGGCTGGCAGGAGGAGGCACAGCAGGAGGAATCAGGTACACAGCAGGCGGGCTTGCACACGGGGCGGCAGAGCAGGGACACACTGGAGGCCACTGGGCCACAGCAGCTGGGCTGGCAGGAGGAGGCACAGCAGGAGGAATCAGGCACACAGCAGGCGGGCTTGCACACGGGGCGGCAGAGCAGGGACACACTGGAGGCCACTGGGCCACAGCAGCTGGGCTGGCAGGAGGAGGCACAGCAGGAGGAATCAGGTACACAGCAGGCAGGCTTGCACACGGGGCGGCAGAGCAGGGACACACTGGAAGCTGGGCGACAGCAGCTGGGCTGGCAGGAGGAGGCACAGCAGGAGGAATCAGGTACACAGCAGGCGGGCTTGCACACGGGGCGGCAGAGCAGGGACACACTGGAGGCCACTGGGCCACAGCAGCTGGGCTGGCAGGAGGAGGCACAGCAGGAGGAATCAGGCACACAGCAGGCGGGCTTGCACACGGGGCGGCAGAGCAGGGACACACTGGAGGCCACTGGGCCACAGCAGCTGGGCTGGCAGGAGGAGGCACAGCAGGAGGAATCAGGTACACAGCAGGCGGGCTTGCACACAGGGCGGCAGAGCAGGGACACACTGGAGGAGGGCTTGCAGCAGACGGGCACACAGAAGTACTGCTGGCAGGAGGAGGAGGTGCAGCAAGAGGGCTCGCAGCTAGACTGCTGGCAGCACGGGGGCGTGCAGCAGCTGGTGCAGACTGACTGACTGCAGGGGTTGGACACACAGCTCACTGGGGAGCAGATGAAAGTCAGGCAGGAGGCTGGGGCATAGCAGTCGGGGGCACAGCAGCTGGGCTGGCAGCAGCTGGGGGCACAGCAGGGCTCACAGCAGCTCTCTGGACAGTCGTCCACCTGCCAGGAGGCGTCAGTGTAAGCGTCAGAGCAGACAGACCTGGTGGACATGTTCATGGTGGGTTGGGCTGGAGGAGGGTGTGGGTGGTGTGGTGGGTGAGTGGGTGTGTGAGCTGCGGCGGGCAGTCAGGCTTTTATATCAGCCCAGGTGTGTTTTCAGCTGCGTCTTCAGGAGACTTCCCTTCCTTATTGGTGTTTTGAGCAGGATTGCGGGAGCCCTAATTAATTCTGGTTTATTTACACAAAGCCCTGCTCAGCCTGTGAAACACGTGGTGTCAACTGAGGGCCAGGTGGATGGCGCTGATCTGTGCTTGGCTCTTTAGGCAAACATCTCAGGGACACTGTCTCTCCTGGACTCTGCTCACGTGCTCTGTGCTCTGCCGTCCAGCCTCCACCCCAGGAGGTGAAGGGGATGCGAGTTCCAGAGCCCGGGCCTGGGATGCGTGAACCTGAAGCCAGATGCGTGATGGCCGTGCAGCTCGCCAGGTGTGGACGTCCCCACAGCAGAAGGCGGAGAGGGACAGAGAAGCACTGGATGCTAAGACAGACGTGAAGTGTCTCAAATCCAGCATGGCCTGGCAGAGATGAAGGCAGGAAGGAAAACTCAAGGGAGGCAGATTCTTCCAGAAGACATGCTTGCCAGAAAGGGAGTGGCAGAAGGGAGACACGAAAATATTCTGCAAAGCCCAAGGGAAACAGGCACTTTTGGAGTTGAAAGAGTGACTGAGTGCAGTGCGGGGCTGATACTGGAGTTAGGCAGGGAGTCGGGAAACCTGATGGCTGAGGACAGGCTTGGGTGTTGACAAGGAGTCACAGCCTGACTGCTGGCATTAACAGAATGACCTGTGACACACAGCAGGGTCTTGCTGACCTGTAGCCCCCACAGCTCATGGAAAATGACAGCTCTCGTTGGACACCAATAACTCACATTTATAATCCTAGCTACTTGGGAGACTGAGATCAGAAGGATTGTGGTTGGGGCCAGCCTGGGGAAATAGTTTGAGAGACCCCATCTCAACAGAAAAAAGATGGGTGTGGTGTTTCACACCTGTCATCCTAGCTATGGTGGGAAACATAAAATAGGGAGGACTGGTCTAGACCAGTCAAGGCAAAAAGTCAAAGCCTATCTCCAAAATAACCAGAGCCAAAGGTTTGGAGGCATACCTCAAGAGGTAGAGCATGTGTCCAGCAAATGTGAGGCCCTGAGTTCAAACCCCAGTTCTTAAAAAAAAAAAAAAAAAGGAAAAGAATAAAAAGAAGAAGAACAAGAAACAGCCCTGACCATTCAAGGCCAGGTACTCCCCCGACTCAACACGTGGGAGGAGTTGATGACACGTAGCCCAGTCTGCAAGTTAACGACACCTGACCCGGTTTTCCAGGACTGACTACCCTCTCTGCAGACCCTAATAAAAGCTTGAGGTCTTGGGACCCAAAGGGCAGTGCTCTTTTTAGAGCCTACCGGCCCTCCTGTCTGGAGGTGACACCTTTGCTTTGCACTAATAAACCTATTACTGCAGGACTCTCTGTGTCTGTCCTTGAATTCTTTCTCTGATGAGATCCAGAACTTTCTGGTCCCTGGACTCAGTAACCCAAATCTAGCAACGGGACAAATAGAATGAAAAATTGTGTACATCTAGACAGGCTGTGAACATCTGACAGCAAACATTAAGAAAAACCCTACAAGCTTCCAGAGATCAGTAGCCAAATTCAGCTTAAAAAGCAGCAGAAATTGGGTTGCGATTCATAACTTCTCAGGTAGAGCAAATGCTCCCTAAAACCTTGACCCACAGAGCCCAGACGCCCCGTCCTCCATCTCAACGCTCGCTGTGGTGTTCAGTTCTGAGTTTTGACAAGTGCAGAGAGTCCTGTATCAACATGGAGGAAGCCCATCACCCTCAAAAAGTCCCTCGTGCAAAACCAAAGTGTTATCTGTGTGGCCATCTGTGGTCAGTCCTCCCTCATCCCCATCTCTTCTAGACTGTCATATAAAGTAGACATTTGGTATACAGAATACCGAACAGAGCCCGGCATGCAACACAGCCTTTAGGGTCTGGCTTCTTTCTCTTAGCAAAATGGCTTGGGATGCATCCAAGATGTGGAATAGATCAACGGTTTATTCTTTTTTGTTGCTCCGTAGTATTCCACGGTGTGGATGCACCACAGTTTGTCCATTCAGAGGGTGAAGGATATTTTGGTTGTCTCTGTTTGTGAGGAGCATGTACGAAGCTTCTATAAACACCATTTGTGTACAGTTTTTGTATGTTGATGAGTTTTCGCTTCCCTAACAGGAGTGAAATTGTTAGGTCACGTGGCACTGTATACTTAATTTCCTAAGAAACAGTCAGACTGTTTTCCAAAGTGGCTGTGCCATCCTGCAGGGTATGAGGGTGCTAGTTTCTCGGTACCCTTGCCAGAACTTGAGGCTGCAAGTTGCTTTTGTTTTAATTGGAGCCATCTGAGTAGATGCAGTGGTGTTACAATTTTACGTTACGTTGCTCTGGTGACTAACGACGTGCCCAGTTTATTTCATGTGCATACTTGCCAAACTGTCCTGTGGGGGTGACCCTTCACACGTCCCCTCCTCCAACAGCCGTGTCAGCGCCTGGCAGGGTCAGTCTTTAATCTTAGCCGTTCCAGTGGGCCTGTGGTCCGCATTTCCCTAACAGTTAAAGACCTTGGGAATATTCTTGTGCACTGGTTCGCTTCTTTCTTGGAAAAACACTTCTTCACATCTTGAAGCTTCCATTTCAATTCAGATTTTTTTCATATTGAATTTTTTTTCTTTTTTTTTCAGTACTGGGGTTTGAACTCAGGGCCTACACCTTGAGCCACTCCACCAGCTCTTTTCTGTGAAAGGTTCTTTCACGATAGGGTCTCACGAACTACTTTTCCCGGGCTGGTCTCTGCCTTTTGTGTAGCTAGGATTACAGGTGTGAGCCACCGGTGCCCTGCATCTTTCTTTCTTTCTTTCTTTTTTTTAATGGGATGCTTACAGTCCATTTTTTCTCTGGTTATTTTAGAGACGGGGTGTCTCACAAACTGTTTGCCCAGGCTGGTCTTGAACTGGGATCCTCCCAATCTCAGCCTCACAAGTAGCTAGGATTACAGGAGTGAGCCACCAGCGCTCAGCTTGAAATTTCTTTATCTTTTGCATACAAGAACTTTGGTCACATTCACAAGTATTTCTATTCCCCATGTCTTGTCCTTTCATTGACTCCAGCATGAAGGAGAAAAGTTTAATATGGATGAAGTCTAAATTATTATCTTTTTTCTTTTATGCATCGTAATTTTGGTGTTGATTTGAAGAACTCTGCCTGACACAAGGTCACACACAGAGTCTTTCTACTGTGGCTAAACACTTTTGCATTTAGAGCTATGATCTATTTTAATTTTTACATCAAGGTTAAGATGTTGGTTCAAGTTCAGCTTTCTTTCTTTCTTTTTTTTCTGGCGTACAGACACCACCTGTGTCAGATATGTACCTCTCACTTTTGTGAAAAATCAGTAGACCACGCCAGGCGTGGTGGCCCACACCTGCAATCCCAGCGCTCGGGCGGCGGAGGCAGGAGGATCTTGAGTTTGAGGCCAGCGTGGGCTACATGCCAAGACCCTGTCTCAAAGCCGACCCCCTCAAGGAGAACTCAGTAGACTTTCTCCACGGGGGCCCTCTTCTCGTTCGCTGACCTGCACACCTGGATCTTGCCAATACAGCATTGTCCTGGTCACAGTGAACCTTGCAGCCGGGAAGTGCAAGCCCATCCTTTCCGAATTGCTGTTTGGCTCATGTGCCTTACCACAGAGGCTTTGGAACGAGCTCGCCGATGACAAGGAGAGCTCTGGGGCACTTGGTCGGGACTGCCCTGTCCGTCGATGAGTCTGGAGGACAGAGCATCACCGCCTGTTGAGTGTGCCACCATGGGCACAGTTGTGTCACTTGACGCCTTCCTTCAGTGGTTTCATGTCCTGTTAGATTCACATCTTAAATTGTCACTTTTTATTCTATTAGGAAACAAAACCTTTAAATTCCAACTGCTATTGTGCACACACAGAGTACAATTAGCCTTTGTTACTTTTGTCATTTTAGGCTCATCCTTCACCTTGCGGGACTCACAGTCCCAGGAGTCTTTCTGTCTGTCCATGTGGACAATCATGCTGTCTGTGAAGAGACACAATGTTACATCCTCCTTTCTTAAATGTGTGTCTATTTGGTTTTTTCCCTTGCCTTGTCCCACTGGGAGGTCCCTTAGTGGGATGTGGACAGGAGAGGGGGGACACCAAGTGCTCTGTCTTTTACCACTGGGAAGGGATTTGCCATGAGTCTTTCTGTTTTTTTCTTTTGGTGGTACTGGGATTTGAACTCAGGGCCATGTTCTTAGGCAGGTGCTCTACCACTTGAGCCGTCTCCCCAGCCCTTTTTGCTTTAGGTTATTTTTTAGGTACGGTTTTGCATATTTTGCCTGGGGACAGCCTCTGACAATAGTCCTCCTACCTACGGCCTCTTGAATAGCTTGAGATCACAGGCATGAACCTCACCCCTGGCTTGTTGGTTGAGGTGGAGTTTTGCTAACTTTTTGCCTAGCCTGACTTAGAACCATGATTCTCCCAGTCTCTGCCTCCTGAGTGGCTGGGATTGTAGGCATGAGCTGTGGTGCCTGGCCTGGCTATGAGTCTTGTGATGCCTTATATCAAGTTAAAAAGTAAACTTTGTCTAGTTCATGCAGAGCTTTTTTTTTTTAAACAAATCATGAGTCAGTGTTGCATTTTGTAATTTCCCCCTGTATCCATTGAAATAATGACACTGTCTTTCTTCTCTCGTCCTATCATTGTACACAGTGTTGCAATGGGACTGATGTGCTTACATTCTGTTGAGGTTTTTGTGCCTCTGTCCACTAAGGATCTTGGTCGACAGTTTTCTGAACTTCAAAGTATCACTGAGCTCTTAGGACGAGTGTAAAGTGCTCTGTCTTCTGGGTTCTGTAGAATCATCATTTCTTCTTCTTTAAATATTTTGGCAGAACTCGCCAGCGGACAAGCTAGGCTTGAAGACTTCTCTGTTGGGATGACTTAACACTGATGTAGCCATGAAGGGAGTGAGACAGCAAGGCATGGACATGACAAAAATGTGTCTGGCAAGGCTGCTGGCCACACTACAAGGACTCCAGCACTCAGCAGTACGAAAAGAAGCGACCCGGTTAACAATGGGCAAGAGTGACCAACACCTCACCCAAAGGATGCACAGATGGGGGCCATCCCCACCCTGGGTGTCACTAGAGTTCTCACAGGCAGGACTTGGCCAGTGGTTACAGGGCTAATTTCACCCCCCGCTGGTGGCAGGTGACCCCAGGGCATCACCAAGGTCCTGAGAGTGATGAGTTCAATCTGGCTGCCACCAGATGCTGTCCAGCTTGTGTTGGTCACTGGGGACCTTGTCACCCAGCAGTGGTGCCTCTCCCTGGCCTCAGCCTCAGCGCTGCTCTCGTTTGGAGGTCACTGCCCTGCAGGGCACTCAAGGGGTCTCTGCAGACTGCAGTTTCTCTCAGGGCAGTTTCTGCTCAGCTTCTCTGTCACAGATGTGGCCCTGAGTCCCACCTGTGGCCCCCCAGCAGAATTAGCCACTGTTCCATGAGACTTGTGGATCAGTAACTCGCTCTTAGAAATATTTGTGACAGGAGGACACCGCTATCTGCTTAAACACTGTGTCCCACAAACAAGAGACGAGAATCAGGACATCAGCTGTTTATTGGAGCCCAGGAGGCGCTAACAGGTCATAGTCCAGAGAAGCAACACAGAGCAGAGGACAGGAAGGGAGGGACAGTGACCCAAAGGGCAGGAGAGCTCCTGGGAAACAAGACGGGGTAGAGAGCTCAGGTCAACTCAGTGGACACGAGGATGTCTTGTCCTGGGGCGTGGCAGCCACCTAATCCAGGTCAAGAGCAGATTGAAGGGATGAGGAGGCCAAAGGAAGGGACCCGGGCCTGCTGTCCCTGGGGACCGTGCCCATCAGCAGCAGGACCCACAGCAGGCTGGGCGGGAGCAGGCAGGGCGGCATAGCAGGGATACACAGGAGGCTGCTGGGCGGCAGCAGCTGGGCTGGCAGGAGGAGGCACAGCAGGAGGAATCAGGTACACAGCAGGCAGGCTTGCACACAGGGCGGCAGAGCAGGGACACACTGGAGGCTGCTGGGCCACAGCAGCTGGGCTGGCAGGAGGAGGCACAGCAGGAGGAATCAGGTACACAGCAGGCAGGCTTGCACACAGGGCGGCAGAGCAGGGACACACTGGAGGAGGGCTTGCAGCAGACGGGTACACAGAAGTACTGCTGGCAGGATGAGGAAGAATCCCCAGAGCAGACGGGCACACAGCACAAGGGCTTGCAGCAGACGGGCACACAGCAGGACTGCTGGCAGGGGGACGAGGTGCAGCAAGAGGGCTCACAGCTAGACTGCTGGCAGGATGAGGAGGAATCTCCAGAGCAGACGGGCACACAGCACACGGGCTTGCAGCACATGGGCACACAGCACACAGGCTTGCAGCACACGGGTACACAGCTAGACTGCTGGCAGCACGAGGGCGTGCAGAAGCTGGTGCAGACTGACTGACTGCAGGGGCTGGACACACAGCTCACTGGGGTGCAGACGAAGGTCAGGCTTGGGGCTGGGGCACAGCTGCTGGGGGCACAGCAGCTTGGCTGGCAGCAGCTGGGGGCACAGCAGGGCTCGCAGCAGCTCTCTGGACAGTCGTCCACCTGCCAGGAGGCGTCAGTGCAAGCGTCAGAGCAGACGGACATGGTGGACATGTTCATGGTGGGGACTGGGCTGGAGGAGGGTTTGTGAGTGAGTGTGTGAGTTGTGAGTGGGTGAGTGTGTGTGTGAGGTGCTGGGATGATGGCTTTTATACCCATCCCTGTGCTGTTGTCTGGCCCACAGCCTCCTTTCCTGTTGGTGACCCGCTCATTAGGGTGTTTGTTTGCATGGGATGTTGTCCAGCTTGTTCTTCCCCAGCCAGCGTCTGCCCCAGGAGCAGCAACAGGACCAGCACGTGCCCAGTGTGGGCTCTGTGAGCAGTGAGGCTGGAGTTGCATGGTGGGACCTGCCGTGGTCCCTCCATGGCTGCTGGGCATCGTCCAGCCACGGGCCTGGCAGCGCAGGGCTTTGTTTCATTTGCAGGAAGCTGGTTCTGGAGAAGTGCTGCCCCTGGTCCAAACCCTTCTCAGTGCTTCCATCCCAGTCCATGGGACAGTTGCCACCTTGTGACAAGGACCCAGAGGCCAGCAGAGGTGCCAAGTGACCTTCCCAGAGCCTGACCTCTGTACTGAGCTCTGGACAGTTTCTCCTACCTCAGTGCCTTTCCCATATCCTGCCCTGTGTTCACCGTCTACCCTGTCCTTGTGCCTGGAGGCAGCAGGACTCTGTTCTCAGGGAAGGTGTTGGGCTGGCCCCTTCCCCTCAGCCATTCTGGCAGCCTCTGGGCCATGCGCTCCGTGCTGTGAACCACAGCAGCCTTGAGGGGCAGAACTTGCTGGCTCTGTGGCTGCCTTCTTCGTTTGCTCGGCCCTGCTCCCTGTCCTGTGCTCTGAACTTTTCCTTGCCAGCCCTTACCATGGGGCCAGGCTCACCCATAGCTCTGCCCCAAGCAGTGACTTGATTCATCAGTAGCTTGGAGTACATTTTTTCCACCACATCTTGCAACAAACTCCAGGGGCTTCCCACCCCATCTTAGGCCCTAATCACACCTCCAGAAACATTCTCACCTCCAGCCAGTCGTGATACAACCTTGGTTTCATGGTTTTGCATAAAAACACACACTTCCTATTTCATTGTAAGATGTGTTATAGGAGTTGAACTTTCCATACTGTCCTGAGCCTGCAGCACCGAAAGCTATGCCTTGGTCTAGAAATAGTGCCAGCATTTGGGGACATTCCTTCCCCATGGGGCTTTCTAAAATAAGACAGAAGGTGGCCACCTATGCATAGCACCTGCCCACTACTACCCAGGTTGTAATAAGTGTGCTATGGCAGCAGGGGTGTCCCTTTAGCCTTACACAAAATACAAGACCCAGGAGGAGAACTTCCACTGTGTCCATGGGGTATCTCTTCCCTAAAGTGGATCCTGGCCAAATAAGACAAGCAGTAGCACCAGCCACAGGACCAGCCACAGAGAAATTGACACCAGTGGTCAGAGCACAGGCCATGTCGGCCCCACCCATCCCTGTATCATCCCCATCACTAAGTTAGAGCTTCAAAGAAGGAGTAGACAAGCAAGGACAGGAGGTCACGTCCCTCACCTCGCTGTCCCTGTGGGGGCTGGAGACAGGACAGGGTTGAGATTGGATGGAGGACTGGTCTGTTTTGGCTATGTGCTTTGTGCTCTTTTATAGACCAGAGTTTTCAGATACTATATGATAACAGCTCATGTCCCTGTCAGCATTTCTTTTCAAAGTCCCTAACTTCTGTCCTGCCTTTGCTATTTCCTGCTCTTATTTTCCTTCCCATCACAATGTGAGCTTCCTGTGAGCAGAGAGCATCTTTATCTTGTTCACAATGGCCTGCAATAGCATCCAACACACAACTCTTCAGTAAAAAAAAGTGCTTGAAAAAATGGACTTTTTTCTCCAGAGAAACTACCAAAGAATAACTCTGAGTTCTGAGAATGGTTGCACTGTGCCAACTTTTTCTTGTTCTGTATAAAATACTCTATCAAGTTCTGCTTCCACAAGTGGGAAACTGGTTTTTATCTAACCATCTAGCTTAGAAAATAAAGAAACTTGCTTAATAGGTGAAAATTGTTTGAAAGCACCATTAAGCACCAGGACAGCTAAGACTTGATCGAGCAGACCTTCATCACAAGGAAAGGGCTGGAACAGAGCCTACATTTATTGTGGATTTTCTTCTTGAGGCATTTGCCAGTTCACAAGTCATAGACAAGAGGCCGAGAAACTGAATAGAGCTTTTAGTGATCTCAGGGAACTGGAGATCAACAACAAGGAAACAGAGTTCAGGACCCAAGGAAGCAGAGGGATTCTGGGAAAGTGCCCAGGCTTTCAGTGGCAAACACTGGATATAAGTGAAGAGCTGCTCCCCATGAGAAAGAAAAAGCAGAGGTAAGGCTGATACTGACCTTTGAGTCAGCTCAGTAGAGCTCAGGTGATCTGTCTTCAACCTAACTCTCTGCCAGAGACAACATTCCAGCCCCTCTGATGCCAGGTAACGCCATCAAAGACCCAAATGATCTTCATACTCTTTTCCATTATTAAAAAAAGAAATCTTTTCCTATTTGTTCACAAACCCTTGTGTCATGGGATGATTTTCAATAGATCATGGCGAGGAAGTTGCTTTGCTACATGTGAAACCGTGACCCATAAGCAGGTTGTTTACAAATTGTTTAGCACCAGGTTCCACACAAACATGCAATTATGTGATGGATAAGAGAGTGGCCAATCTTTGTAGCTCTGCCCACTTCCCAGGAACCCCAGTCTCCACGAACAGTGACAGCATTGGCAGGGTTGGCCCCAGCTCATGAGGGGCCAGTCATCACATTTTTACATGTATAACATCTTGCATTTGGTCAGATATGACTAGGCACACTAGAAGACAAGACCAATTGGCCAAGAGAAAAAACAAACAATAGAAACAAGCCTGCAAGAGAGCTAGATATTAGAATAGTCAAACATGGACTTAAAACTAACTGCAATGAATTTTTTTCTAAGAACACTGCAGAAAAGACGGAGAATTTTAGTGGCAAACTGGATTCCATAAATAAGAATCAAACAAATTCTAGAAATGGGAACATAATAACTGGAATTAAGAATTTAGTAATAGCATATTAGACAAAAACAAAGATGATAAGTGAAGGAAGGTAAGGAAATATCAAGACAAAGAGGGGGCAAAACATAAAAATAGAAAAAAATGGTGCAATAAACATAGGGACATGATGAAAAAGATGGTTTGAATCCCAAGAGAGAAGATTGAGAAGGGCTAGTAAAGTATTTAAAGGTATGATGGGGAGGAACTTTAAATTGATGAAGAACCAAAAAGCATTTGAAAGACTTTAGTAAGACAACACACAGAAAACCACAACTGGGCACATTGGGGCTGAAAATCTAAGGACAAAGGAAGATTTAAAAAAAACAGAGGGCAAGAAAAGAGACATTAGCACCTTCAAAGAAGCAACAAGACTGACAGATGACTTATGAATGCAAGTGCTGAAGACCAGAAGACAATGGAATCATATCTTCATCGTCTGGAAGAAAATAAGCTCCAAGCTAGAGCTCTACACCCGTGGGGGTGTCCTCTGAGAAGAGGCGGAATACTGACGTTCTTGGGCAACAGACATTAAAAGAATGCATTGGATGTAATTACTTCTGCCAGTGAATTCCCAGACATTTGGAAGAGAAATGACACCAATTTTAACTTTGTCAGCTTGTCATGATTTTGCAGAGTTTAGGGAGAGGACTGCTTCTAGTGAGAGTTGCTGTGAAATGCTGTGCTGCCCAGAGGCCACGTGGGTGTGGTCCAGGGACATGGAGGCCTGCTGGGAGGAGCTGCAGTCTGGAGGATGGTGGGGCGTGGCAGGTGGGGAGGAAGTGTTTGGTGAGTGGAAGTTGGTGCAGCTGATCAGCAGCCCTACTGGACACCACATAATGACAAGAGTGAGTCTATCAAGGAAGCATGTTAGGCATTACACACCTAACATCAGACCCTAACATATATGAAGCAAAAATGGACAGAACTGAAGAAAGAAATAGACAATTGTGGTGCTACAATAACTGTTAGGGACTTCATTCTCTCTAAAGAAAAATGAAAAACTAGAACTAGATCCAAGTTCATGAGAAAATGTGGTATCTAAAGAACACAATAGGGCCTTATGACACACACATGCAGAACACGACCTAACAACAGCAGACAACTTTGATTCCTCTCCTGATCAGACAACTTTGGGCCACAAACTGTCTCACTCAGTGTATCCTCTCTGACCCCACAGAAAGACACTAGAGATCAAAGCAAAAGGAAAACCAGAATTCACAAATGTGGGTAAATTAAACAATGTACATTTAATCAACCAACGGGTCAAAGGAGAACTCAAGGGAAGTAAGGAAATGCTTTGAGAGGAATGAAAAAGAAAATACAGCAAACTGAAACTTTTGAGAAGCAGCCAGAACTGTACTCACATAAAAAATGATAGCTAAAAAGGCCTACATGAAAAAAGAAGAAAAATCTCAAATCCATAAATCCTACTCCACACCTTGAGAAACCATTAAAAAAAAAAAAAACCAAACCAGGCCCACAGGCATGGCTGAAGTGGTAGAGCTCTTCCTGATGAGTACAGGCTCTCCACTCAAACCCCAGGACTGAAATAAAAGAGCAAATCAAATCCAAAACTAGCAGAAGAAAATAAGGATTAGAGTACAGAGAAAACAGAGAATAGAACAATAATACAATTAATGAAATAAAAAATTGATTCTTTGAACAGAATCGACAAGCTTTTAGGTAGAATAATATGAAAAGAAAGATTCAAATTATTGAATCATAAATGAAAAAGGAGACATCACTACCGACCTTATATAAATGACCTTATATAAGTGAAAAAGAAACCAACAGAAAGGATGAACAAATGTAATGAGCAAATCCTGAGAACACACAAACGATCCAAACTAACACCTTTACTGCTGTTCTGAGTTTGTACAGCTTCAAGCCAATGTCCAGTGCCCTCCTTTCCACCTGAACTGGCCTTTCTGGTGAGGCAGGTCTGCTGGCTATCACTCCTTCAGCGTGCATTGATCTGGAAGTGTACTCCTTTCACCTTCAATTTTGAAGGATAATTTTGTCAGATACAAACTCTTCCTGCTTCCCCTCATCCAGCACTTTGAATATATCATCCATCAACCCTGGCTGCCATGGTTTCTGATAAGCATTGGCTGTCAGCCTTCTCTTTTGCTGCATTCAAGATTCTCCCTTTGTTTTTGACTCTTCTTAGTTCAGTTATGGTGTGGACCATGGGGACCCTGGCACTTATTTTACAGAGTTCACTGAGTTTCTTGAAAGTACAGCTTGACGCGTTTCATTAAAATTAGGAAATTTTGACCATTAATTCTTCAGGTATTTGTTTGCTCATTCTTACTTCTCTTCTCTTTCCGGAACTACTGTTGTATGTAGCACACTTGACGGTGTTCCATGTGACTCGTAAGATTTATTCATTTAAAAAGTCCATTCTTAAGACTGGAATATTTCAATGGATCTGTCTTCATGTCATATGTTCTTCATGTCAAATTTTCATGTTGAAACTGTAGAAGCTTTTCTCTATTTATTTCTTCTCTTTGGTGAGGCCCTGTTCTCCTGGTTTCTCTTAGCTCTTGTCCACGGTTTGACTCGAGGTTTTTGAGTGTGTCTCAAAGCTGACTTGAGGCTTTATCTAGTATGCACACCTGAGTCTCAGCAGAACATGTTCTGTTCATTGATTCCCCCCAACTCCTCTGTGAGTAGGTCTCTTTTCTGGCTTCATTGTGTGCCTGACAACTTTAATTGAAAGCTGGACAATGAATATTACAGTGGATCATTCTGCATATCAGATTCTCTGTCCTCTATGCTGATTTCTTGTGGCTTCTAGATGGTTTTTGTTTTGTTTTGTCATTTTTTCTGAAGTAGCTTTGTAATAATTGTGTTCTTTGTCATGTGCTGTCAATGTTCCATTGACCTACTGCTCAGAATGTGATTTGACAGAGTTCCTTATGCACCTGGTGTTAATACTACGGGAAGGGGACCAGGAAGTAGTGAAGCGGTCTGGCAGAGATGAACCAGTGTGGGTTGCAATACACCAGTGCAAGGGAGCAATGCTAGGAATCTCTCTGTGTAGCTATCTTGATCTCAAACTAGCAGAAATGGATTTGGGCTCAAATGCTAAAGGCTTGTTCCCGAGCACCTGGTGTTATTAGGGAGCAGAGGATACTTCAGGAGTGGGAGCCAGAAGGAACTTAGGTCATTGGGATCATGCCCTTGAAGGAAATACTGGGATGTGACCCCTTGCTCTCTCTCTGCCTGCTTCTTGGCTGTCGTGAGGTGAGAAGCCTCCTCTATTATGTGTTCCTGTCATGCTGTGCTTGCTACCTCACCATGGGTTCAAAAACAAGAGTCAACTGACCAGGAACTGTCAACTGACCAGGGACTGAAACCTCTACAGTCATGAGCAAGAATAGATCTTTCTTCCTTGTGAGTTTTTTATCTCAGGTATTTTGTCACAGTGAAGGAAAACTGACTAATACGCTGGGAGTCAAAAAATATTTTTCCCTGAGTTTGGAGCTTTGTTTGTGTGTTGGGCACACCGTCTGCTCACAACTGGGCCATTCCCCTCTGCCATCCCCTGCTCTTCCTGCTCACTCCTTCACTTCCTGCTTGCTCAGAGTTTGAACTTTAGCTGGTGAGCACTGAGAGCTTCCCAGGTCTTTCTGAGAACAGACCCTTCATGGTTAGGTATGGGGACTTCTAGACGCCCAGGATATGTGGGAGCTTTCAAAGCTCTTTGTCCCCAAAGTATCTCATTGCCTACCTTTTCCTCCCAGACTTTTATCTAGGTGATACTCAGGTGGCTGTAGCTGGTTCATTCACCTGCTTCTCTGTCTTCAGCAAGCCCTGTGTTTAGAGAAATCGAGACAGGCCTGTGTGTTAGTCCTCCAGGGAGCCCCAGACTGGCCAGAACAGATGACCACAGTTCCTTGAAACAAGGTCCACTCTGCTCCTCTGGCTCCAGCCTCCACAAGAACTGCATGTTCTGGGTCCAGCGGGGGTGGGGCAGGGTGAGCACAGCCTCCTGGTTCAGCTGCTGTCCTCTTGCTCGAGCAAGAGGACGTGTTCACGCGGAGACACATAAGGGCATGCATGTCCTGACGTCCCCTTGCTGTTGTGAGTGTTCTCCAGCTTCAGATGAGGCCGATTCTGTGGTTTCTGAGGGAGGAGCACCCCTTAGATCACCCCACACCATCCGTTTCTCAGCTGCACAACCTGGAGCAGTCCTTTGAGGACACTGTCAGTGTCTCTCATAATCTAAAGATGGCAAACGAGTCTTGGAAATCCCACTCCTAGGAGTTTAGGCAACATGAAGATTTATATCCATGGGCAAAGGAGCATGGCAGTGACACTCAGTGGTGTTGCTCACACAGTCAATACTGAGAGATTTCAAATGCTGCCCACGTGGTGTTATACAAACCAAGTACAGTGCGCCATCCTCAGGAATGCTATGCACCTTGGCAAAAGCAAGGAAGACTTTTCAGGTGAGTCAGTAAGATATCCTGTAAGTTACTTTCCTTATCAAAATAGCAGAGAGGAAACAGTGTGTCCCCACGACTGTTGTGACTGCCCCTGCTGTGACAAGGTAGAGAATCAGTGCCTGTCACCTGACCTTTGCCCTGCTGTAATTCCAGGAGACTCTTCTCACACCCACTCAGCTGGGTGTAAAACTACATCTGGACATGAATGTTCACATGTACCTCTGCAAAGACATGAGCTCTTGCCATTCTGGGCTTCCTCTGCCACCTCAAGCATGTGACTTTCCCTGTCCCACCTGTATTGCTGCCTCTTCCCCTTAGGTGGGAGCTCCGAGGCGAAGTCTGTTCCCTGCATCCCAGAAGCTCGCATGGGTCAGAGACCATGCGTGTGCACAGAGGTCCGGGATGTCACACCTTCCTCAGTGGAGCCCTCGGGCGCTGATCCAGCTGAGGCCCAAGTCTTTCCTTGTTCCCTACCATGCCACCTTTGTCTAAGAAAAGAGTAGTGTCTACTGCAGAGTGCAGGTGGGGCTCACAGGATAGGACCAGGGCACAGAGCCTCTGGAGCCTGCAGGACCTGGTGAGTGGCAGGCAGCAGACCATAGAAAGATGGGAAGGGAGCTCCCGGTCTTGTGCAGTAACTCCCAAGCACCACAACTAGAAAAACGGAGAGAGTCTGCAGGGCCCAGTCTTCAGGCCCAGGACCAGGCCTCCTTGTGCCTCCTCCCACCCAGGGGCACCAGTCAGTACAAAGCCAGTAGGGGATAGTGGAGGTTTTATTGGTACCTAGAGGCTGACAGTGGACACAACTGAGTGGGGGACAGGGTCAGCAAGACCAGCCCAGACAGGGGATAGCTGAGGCTGGAGCCAGAGGTGGGGCAGGAGCAGCCAGCACCTCTGAGAGGAAGTGATGAGAGGCTCAGGCCTTAGACCTTGCTGAGGCTTGGCTGGACCAGGTTGGCAACCTAGAGGGCCGGACAGGGGGCAGGTCCAGAGCAGTCAGGCATGAGGTAGGCAGGCTTGCAACAGATGTGCACACAGCAGGAGTGTGGGTAGGGGAGAGGCAGACAGCAATCAGGCTCAGGCCAGACTGTTAGCAGCATGAGGGGGAAGCCTCAGAACAGATGGGCACATAGCACACGGGCTTGCAGCACACGGGCACACAGAAGTACTGCTGGCAGGGGGAGGAGGAGCAGCAAGAGGGCTCGCAGCTAGACTGCTGGCAGCACGAGGGCGTGCAGCAGCTGGTGCAGACTGACTGACTGCAGGGGCTGGACACACAGCTCACTGGGGAGCAGATGAAAGTCAGGCAGGAGGCTGGGGCACAACAGCTGGGGGCACAGCAGCTGGGCTGGCAGCAGCTGGGGGCATAGCAGGGCTCGCAGCAGCTCTCTGGGCAGTCGTCTACCTGCCAGGAGGCGTCAGTGTAAGCGTCAGAGCAGACGGACATGGTGGACATGTTCATGGTGGGTTGGGCTGGAGGAGGGTGTGGGTGGTGTGATGGGTGAGTGGTCAGTGGTGAGTGGTGTGTGATGCTCTGGGCTCCTGGGCTTTTATCCCCTCCAGGGTGTGCTCTCCCTGTCAGGAGGCTCCACAGTGCCCTTCCCTTTCCGGGTGGGTGTTGGAGTCACGAGGGTCTTCCCCAGGGCTCAGTTCATAAACCTTCTGTGCTGGGCAGGGCTGGCTGAGCTGAATCTGATCTGTAGGACACCAGGCAAGGCCAGCAGTAGGCAAACAGTCACAGCAGTTGGGCGTCCACCTGGAGCATCACCTGCCAGGACGAGTTGTCACTGCAGAGGGTCAGGACTGTCGCACCTCCACTTGGTTTAGATCACCAGTTTTGATCAAATTTCCCCTCACACCCAGTGTCCTTCGGCACAGTGCATTGCACACTCCTGTGGCTACTCCAGCCACCCATGGGTGATGCCCACAGGCTCCGCTCACCATGAAAGTCTCTTGGTGGAGACCCAGGAGTCTGTGAGCGGTGGGACTTGCCCCTGGAGTCCTCAGGCAGTGCTTTCCCTGGTGGATTACAAGGTGTGGTCCCTGTGATCCTGGAGAAGAAAACTATTAGCACAGACTCCAGTGGCAGCTTCCATAAGCTCAGGAGACAGTGCTGTCACTGAGCACAGGTGGATGCACCACCTGGCCATGTTCTGAGCACTTCCCATCTACAGACTCGATTTTCATGTCACCTCCTGGATGGGTTATGATGGGAAGATCAAGAGGCCTTGCACCCTGTGCCTTGTTGCAAAGCAAAAAAGGGGCAGAATCGGGTCTGTACACAGGATCTTAGTCTTAGTCTGACTCTCTCCACTCCAGAAAAAGTATAAACAGAAGTCTGCAAGTGTGCCAGGAAATTCAACACTAAACGGCTGGATTAAAAACTTCCCACCAGGGATGGAAGAGCAAACTCAGTTCCACAAAGCTTCAGATACTATGGCTTTAAGGACAAACTGAACAGTGCCTCCCTGTTACCCAAAACACAGGCAGAAAGGACAAAACTCCTGAGTATGGGAGAGAAAAGAGAACATGCTAAGTCAGTCATGACGCAGAGAGAAAGCACAATTAGGATCAAAATCATAAAGAAATGATCAGGAGACAGCTACTGAGCTGAGGCACAATGATGCTTTTGCCGGGTAGGATAGGGATCTTCTAGCCCACGCTAGGCGGGATGGCAAGCTTTTAATTAGGAGGCAAGAAATAGTCATATGGCCAGAGGAAGAAGCAGTACATATGCACCAGGGCTGAACCCACATCCAACCGACCCCAGGACTCTTACTGCTACAGCCACAGAGGTGGGAAACACCAGTGTACAAAGGTTGACGTTTTCTCTTTTGTAATTATGACATCTTCCTCAAAGCAAGACAACAGCAACACATTTCCACAAAAGCACGAGCTTGGAAAGTTTCCTCACTCGGCTATCCCTCCTGAAAAAATATCTCTCAAAATGGCTGTAAGATAAAACCAAAAGCAAGTAAGGAAGGTCATGACTAAACAGACACACAGTAATGAAGAATCAGATTTTGCATGGACAGTGGTCAGGGGCCCCTCTCCTGTCTTCCACTCAGTTGGCCGTAATGTCTAGAAATGGGGGTCCTCCAGTAGCAGGGACTACCATGTCCCACATGCTGACCCCCAATCCTGTAAAACCAAGGGAATGTGTTTTTCCAGTATCCCACTCAAAAAGGAGGGTTGTCATCAGCCGTGACCAGGCTGGTCATGGACAGTGAATGACTTTTGGGGTCCAGCCCCAGGTGCCAGGGACCATGGGAGTGAGATGCCTCTCCCAGCTCCTGCATGGTGAGACCACCCTGCCTACAAATGGGGCAAATAGTGGATGCCAACTCAGACATCATGGTCATGCCGCCCTCAAGCAGCGTGGGTTTGCTCAGGCTTGCCCGTCCAGACCCTGGACAGAGAGAGCCAGGGTGCCAGTGTCTGCTGTGCCTGCTGCCCTTGCCCTGGTGCTGGACTTGGACCTGGGGAAGGAAAATGACAGTGTAAGGCCTGTGTCTTCCTTTCCTTATGGCCAGTCACCCTGGGGCAGGGAGTCCCCAAGTCTGTGTTGGCTCTGCACGAACACGTGGTGAAAACCAGGTGGGAATAAAGTGAAACCTGCACACATTGAAAGACACAGAGTCCAAAAGAAAAGTCCACCCAAGAATTAAGGCCAACAGCAGGAAGGGGCTAGAACATTTCTAATTAGCCCCAAGTATCAAAAAGTCATCACAGGGGTTCCCTTCCTTCCCAGGAACTTGCTAGCGAGGTGACTCGACCAGCCATTCTGCAAAAACAGTGGAAACAGCAGGGAAAAATCTCCCTGCTAGCCACAGGAGGCCAAAGCTGGAATGGGGTTTTTGCCATTTGTGCTATTTTGTGCCACAGATCTCCCTGGCTGCCCTGTGAAACCTTTGCAGGTTTCTAAATGAATGAAGGGAAATACGCATTGGGATTATCAAAAAAGCCAACTGCATTAAAATAGCAATTAAAACACAAAAAATCAGGCTGGCTGCAGTGGCTCATGCCCATAATCTCAGCTATGAAGGAGGCATAAATAAGAGGACTGAGGTCCCAGGCCAGCCCTGAGTAAAAAACTCTACCTGAATAATAACTAAAGCCAAAAAGGGCTGGGAGTGCAGCTTCCCAGTGCCTGCAAATGAACGAACAAAAATAACAAAAGGCAAAAAAACAAAACCAAAAACCCTATGAAAGAAAAGCAGTGACGTGACACGCACTTCTCCAGTGAACGCACGAATGGCACGGTACAGTCGTGGGTCTCTCAGCTGCTGTGCTTATGTGCTGGTGACCTGCGGTGATGCCACATCTGGCCTCTGTTGGTGACAAGCCCCAGGGCCTGCAGGCCATCCCTGGGCTCGTCGTCTGGGTTGATAATGGGCTGAAGCCCTGAATTTCAGTTAGAGGTGAGCGTGCACACGACTCTTTTTCCCCTTCTTGTCCAAGTTTGCAGGCCCTCAGCCTTGAGCAGACCCAGAAGCCGATGGGTCTTTGGGGGAGTTTGCTGACCTGGTAAACTTAAACCTGGCATTCAGCTGCTTTGCAGGAGGAAAGGGACAGGTGTCAAGACCGAGAGCCATGCCCACCACCCAGCCCAGAGAGGGAACATCCTGCCTTACCTATCTCTGCTCTGCAGCCCAAACTCATAAGCTTTGGGTGGTCCAAAAAAAAAAAAAACCAGCCATGGATCTAGTGGAAACCGGTCCTGGACTCTCAGTGCTCCTAGCACCTTCATCCAAGTTCTCCACAGTGCCACCAGTGTTCTTCCAAAGACAAGGACCAGTACACAATCCCAAACAACTAAGCACACAAGCAAAAAGACACCAGGAGCAAGAACTGGCGGAAATTGCAGTGACCAGAACCGGGCCATGGAGACTGTCAGATGGTGAAATTCCCTTACTTGGATAGTAAAACAGCTGCTTCAAAGAATGGGCCAGCTTCACGATATCTCCCAGGAGTGAGAATCATTTATTTTACTCATTAAGGAGGGTCTTTTAGAAGGTGATGAGCTGAGCAGAGGGAGAGAAAAAAGAGGGAGGGCCAGTCTGGGACACTGGGAGGTCACAGTCAGGGAGAAGGGTGACGTGAGGGTGGCTCAGCTCTGGGCCCAGGCAGGGAGATGAGAGCACAGAGCAAGGTGCTCAGGCAGGGTCTAGACAGATGGCCACTTTATTCCTAACCAGGGCAGTTATCTAGGAGCCACGGGGGTCTCCAGTGTGTGTGTGTGTGGGGGGAGGTCTCCTCACACTGGAGGCTGGAAGGGAATGACTACCACAGGAGGCTGGCCCTCCCTGGGGTACAGTCACCCTGTGCACAACTCAAAGCCAGTGGCCCATGCTACATCAAAGCTCTTCCCATGCTTTGCAGATATGCAAAGAAGGCCTCTGACGGGACACAAGGTCACTGTCCTGGGAAGGACAGAAACTGCCATCAGCCAGGATAGCATCAGCCCAGAAGACACTGGGAGCCAGCTAGGCCACCAGAGCCACCACCGCCTGCTGGAGGGGTGGTGGCTTTGGGCAGAAAGAGACCCAGAAAGGCTCAGGGCTCCAAGGATTTCAGGAGGAAGTGAGACTCAGTCCCAGGGCAACTCTGGAGTGTGGCCCCACGCACAAGGGGCAATTCCCATCAGCAGCTGGACTTCTGACCCAAGGAGAGACCTCAGCAGGCTAGGCGAGAGCAGGTAGGGTGGCAGAGCAGGGACACGCAGGAGGCTGCTGGGCAGCAGCAGCTGGGCTGGCAGGAGGAGGCACAGCAGGAGGAATCAGGTACACAGCAGGCGGGCTTGCACACAGGGCGGCAGAGCAGGGACACGCTGGAGGCCGCTGGGCCACAGCAGCTGGGCTGGCAGGAGGAGGCACAGCAGGAGGAATCAGGTACACAGCAGGCAGGTTTGCACACAGGCCGGCAGAGCAGGGACACACTGGAGGAGGGCTTGCAGCAGACGGGCACACAGAAGTACTGCTGGCAGGGGGAGGAGGAGCAGCAAGAGGGCTCACAGCTAGACTGCTGGCAGGATGAGGAAGAATCCCCAGAGCAGACGGGCACACAGCACACGGGCTTGCAGCACACAGGCACACAGCACATGGGCACACAGCAGGACTGCTGGCAGGGGGACGAGGTGCAGCAAGCTGGCTCACAGCTAGACTGCTGGCAGCACGAGGGCGTGCAGCAGCTGGTGCAGACTGACTGACTGCAGGGGCTGGACACACAGCTCACTGGGGAGCAGATGAGGGTCAGGCAGGAGGCTGGGGCACAGCAGCCAGGGGCACAGCAGCTGGACTGACAGCAGGACTCATCACAGCTGGGCTGGCAGCAGCTGGGGACACAGCAGGGCTCGCAGCAGCTCTCTGGGCAGTCGTCCACCTGCCAGGAGGCATCAGTGTAAGCGTCAGAACAGACGGACATGGTGGACATGTTCATGGGTGGGTGGTGAGGGTGGGTGGT